GTCATGTTTTTTTTTTCCCCCAAGCAATAAAACACCTAACTAAGACAATGAAGTAGTTAAAAGACTATTCTTATCATGCAATCTCTCCCATTGTTTCTTTCAGTGGCTTCTGGTACCCCTAGAGCTATCCTCCATCCCTTTTTATGAAGATCATTCTGGCCCATGTGCATTGGGTCCTTCTATCTTCTCCATCCCTTATTTGATGCTGATGGATTGACATCTCCCCTGTCCTGACACTGTCTTGCTGAAGCATTGGCCTCCTACTTTTACCTAGAGGGATGAGGTATTTTTCTTTTCTTGCTGTGATGTAAAGACCTAGGTCCTGTTTGGAGAGTAACCCTCTAGAGCCAGAAAGACCAAGTTGGAAACTATTTTTTTTTGCTTTATTTTTGAGCATATATAATCCAGTCTGACTCCCAATTAGTTATAGAGCCCAAGATGCCTTGACTTTCTGATCTTCCTATTTTCACCTCCTGAGTGCTGGGATTGTTGGTGTGTGCTACCACATCCAGTTTATATGGTGCTGAGGATTGAACCCATGCATGACTTTGTACACCTTTCACAAGTCCCTGACATAAAAAAGTAGGGTAGATGAGGATTTAAGCCATTTTGATATAATAGTTGATTTTGTAGCATACACATTTCCTACAAGTGGTATATATTTTTTAATAACTTATGTATATATTTCACTATAAATTATTCTCAGAACTTTATATAAAGCATGAATCAGAAAACAACCTAAGAGAATTCGTATCACTATAATTTGTTCCCATTTTAGACATTTACAGAAAGAGAAGGACCCCTTGAAACTTCTGCAACTGAATGCTTCACTGTTGTGCACTTAGCTGGACTTAAGGACTCTTAAGGACTGTGGGGAATGATTTCTCTGACAGATTTCATTTATATAAAAGTATACTTTTAGATTTTGTACCTTAATAGTGTAAATGATACAAGTAAAGACATGAATTGTCCTATTGCACTTTGAAATTCCTTGGAGAAAAGATTTTTGTTGTTGATTTACTATTCTCTAATAATGTGAATTGTCTTTGCAACCAGTGTTTGTCCTGATCTCTAATGGGTAAGCTATTGGTGGTTAATTTTGAGGTCTCTAAAACAAAATAGCATATCAGTTTTGCCGTTATTCTCTGTGTCCTTGGGTTCTATGGGATGTCCAGGCATTTGCAGTATGAAGCACCATATTTAGTTTAAACAGCAGGAAATTCTCATGATTATAGATTCTAGAAATCTGACACTAGGGAAACAGTAGGGTTAGTTTTGTCCTGGGCCTTTTTCCTGGGCTTGTAGTTGTCATCTTCTTTTAAATATTCACCTGCTCCTTTCTTTATATATGCCACTGTTTAAATATCCTCATTCTGTAATATTACTAGTAAAAATGGATTGGAACTCACCATAATGATTTCCTTGTAACTTAATTCCTTCTTTAAAGACTCAAGCATAATTAGCTAGAGTCTGAGTTCCTGGTGGTAGAGTTTCAATACATGAATTTGGAGCATTGGGACCATGATTTTTCTTATAACAAACATTTATCTCTATCTGATTTGTAAAATGAGTTAATAGAAATACTTCTGAGGTTGTTGTGAACATTCCAATAGATGATGTACACAAGTTCGGTCACAATAAATTGTGTTATGGTGAGTAGGCATAAAGAGAACCACTTCTTCTACACCATAACTGAAGCTTCTCTTGATTGATGGGTTGCAGCCGTTAACATCACCCATTAGATATGATGCAGTTTTGCTTCCTTTATGGCACCATTGGAGAGTCAGACTTTCTGCTTCTTCTTTTATCACAATATGTGGTTGTGTGGTACAGTAGCAGAGTCCCCCCACTTTTTTTCAAAGCAAAGAACAATTATTCTAATTCTTCCTGCTTGCCTTCCTACCTTGCTGTATTACTGCTTGTTGTAGATAATGGTGGCTTTGTAGAAAGAAAGCTGAGATTAATTACTCCATAGATAAGCTTTATTAGAGGAATTACAGTCTATAGTGGATGGACAAGCATTCAGGTCCAGATAAGAGCTTCATTATGAGAGACACTTGTCAAAATTGTGTTGATGGGATCCTGAAAGGACAGAGCCTTATTTTCTCCTAGGTTCTGAAAGACAAGAAGAATGATAGTACAATGGGATCTTGAAGGGAAAGGTAGATCTTCAAGTCTAAAGAACAAAAGGGGATTTCTTGCTCTCACAGGATTTCAAGGGCAGGTGGGGGAGGTGACTAAGTTCCATACCATTTAACCCAGCCTAGATGTAAAAGTCACAAGACACTGATAAAGTAAAGTAATAATGCAAGCTTGCCTTTGGTCTTGGAGCAGATGGTCTGCAGCTGCCTGAGGAAAAAGTGAACTCTATGAGACCTGTAAGGTCACTGAACCTTCTTTTCAAACCTGTCTAGAGAGGGAGCCTGTAACCTGACACACCCTTCCTGCCCATCTCCCATCAACCTTTGATCCTTGTCCTTCTTTTATTTAATTTTAACTAAAGTAATAATAATAATAATAATTTATAATTTAGCTAGAATGACGTTGACTGAACTCATGATCATCCTGCATTAACTTACAAAATTCTTCTCCTGTGAGCACCAGGCTTGCATGAGGTGCATAGACATGCATCAGAGCAAAACACTCATATACATAAAATAATAAATAATTACATCAAAAAAAAACCCCATGAAAACAGACTGTTCTTGAGAAACTCTAGGCAAAATGAATGAAAAAGATGGTGTGATCTATGTTGAGGGTGTTTGAATGATCTGTGGTCATCACACTGTTGTCCATACATAGGTGCTGTGTATGGCTGTGGAAAGATTGTGAGCTTCCTGGTTGTTTGTCCTGCCCAGTAGCATTTCCAGTGCAAGACGTGCACATCAAGAGTAATCTCTCCATAATAGGGTCTGGAAACAGTGGATCTTTCACACTGTTGAGGAAGTGACTACTAAATCACAGTGGAAGACCACCAAGTATAAGAAATTACCAAGTTCTGCTGTTGATTATTCCATAATGCAATGTGTATGAAAGGATATAGCTTTTTTGTTTTTTGAATACTGTCTATCCATAGCATTTTTAAGTCTGATGAAAACTGAGAATTCTTTCATGCTGGTGTTGTGGTAAGTTATTTAGACCTAAGAAATCTATTTTTCAAATCCCTGGTGTATCTTTCAGCTTTCCTTTAAAAAAAATCCCTGCTACTTTCATCTGCGTTCACAGCCACAGATCATGTAAAATTACAACACACCTTGCTCTGTAGTGCAATAAGAACGAAGTATAGATTGCATTGTCCTGGATGACCCATGTCAAAGGACACCAGCACACAGTCCATGTTTTGAGAAAAATGTTGGTGCTGGTAGAAAGTCGAGTGATTATTAAATCCACACAGAGACTGTGTCTTTGTTAGGGTTACTATTGCTGTGATTAAATATGACCAAAGGCAACTCAGGGAAGAAAGGGTTTATTTCACTAACAGTTCCATATAATAATTTATCATCAAAAGCAGTGAGGACAGGAACTCAAGTAGGGTTGGAATGTGGAGGGGGAGCTGATGTAGAGGTTATGGAGAGGTGATGCTTACTGGCTTGCTCTTTATGACTTGCTCAGCCTGCTTTCTTACAGAACCCAGGCCCACATGAAAGTTGACAAAATCTCCCAGGCTAAGTCCTCAATGGGCTGGGCCCTCCCCCTCACACACAAATCACTAAAAAGGGCTCTACAGGTTTTCCTACAGTCTGATCTTACCCAATCATTTTCTCAGTTGAGGGCTCCTGCTCTCTAGTGACTCTAGCTGGTATCATCTTGATATAAAACTAACCAGCACAGTATGTGTTTCTAGAAAGATATAAAGGGGGATTTACTTGAAAGCTACACTCAGTTCCACTTAGGTCATCAACTGATGCTTTCTGAGACTGGAATGCCACTAACTGTCCAAACATCTATTTTCTTCTATTAGGTAATGAAATAGATGGTAACTCTAGACCATAGATTTCTTTGGACTGGAGGCTGAGTGTCAAACAAACAAACAAATATGCAAGTATTATTGGAGGGTTGGAACTTGGGCCTCCTTGCTGACTTGGGAATTAAAAAAGATGAAAGTTGAGCTTGGACGATGGTTATACGAGTGTGCTTATGGAGTTTCTGGATTTGTGAGCACATCCAAGTGTAGGCAGCATGAGTGACACAGACAAGGTATGAAAATTCTGCGGTCCCTTTATACCCTTCCGGTTTTGCTATTCTTTAAAATAAATTCTTAAAAGAAGGTAAAATATTTTCCTGAGTTTCATGAGCCATTTTGCCATTTTAAGATACCATCAAGCCTGAGAGTGGGTCATGGGATTTGTTGCTTTGTAGTTGATTAGTTAGAAAGATAGACATCACTTGGTCTGCTGACTGGTGTCTAAAGTGGGGCAACATTGTAGATTAGAAGCCTTATTCTGGGAGCTTGTGCCTTTAGTAGTTATTAATTGAATATAAGAAAATGAACATTTAAATTGTGTTTGGAAAACAGAAAATTGTTTGGTATGAGAAAACTCCAAACTTTTAGTGTTCGAAGAACTGGGAGAAGAAAATGTGTTAATGTATCCACAAATGTGAGTTTGCCTGAAGTACTTTTGACAGACCACAAAATAATAGGTATTTCTACTCTTCTCAGTTCAAAGATGAAAACACGTGTTGTTAGGGATTGGAGAAAGACAGAATTTGGTAGCTAATTTACTTTTCTGTAAAGTTTTTTACTATTCAGGTTTTAGCTAGTAAAATGAAAAATCCTTCATTATAAGTCCCTTTCCTTGCTCGTGCACTGGCTTTCCCGATTGCTGTCTTCTGACATGGAGAACACAACAGGCTCTTTGCTTTCTCTGCTATCTCTATTCCAGATCAACCCATAGATTTAAAAACCCTTCTTGTTTTTTTATTAAGTTGCCTTTCTCATCCCTATATATTTTCTGTTTTACTTTCAAACTGATACCATTTAATTTTAATATTTTTGGCAGAAAAGAACAAGTTAGTACCCTGTACCAGAACATCAATCTTGTGGAGCCAAGACTAATTCAGCCATATGAACATGTGATAAGAAACTTTCTCCGTGAGATCAAACTCCAGAGCACCGAAATGGAAAACTTGGCTATTGCAGTGAAGAGGTATCAATCTGCTTCCTTTCTGAGGGCACATCGGGTTCTTGTACTTGTTCTGTGACTGGGGGTGGGGGCATAGGGACTGGAAGGCATGCTATGATACAAGTGGACTTCCTGAACTTTTGCAGTCCAGAATCTTCTAGAATATTCCACACAGGGTAAGTTATGTCAGGTAGTAATTGCAGGGTCAAACAGCAGTCTGTTGGTTGGTCATTCCCTTCCTATGTTGTCAACTGCTCAAATCTAATGATTCCATTCAGAGAAATCCAGAACATGTCTTCTCCTCAGCCATTTTACCAAAGAAGGAAACTTCTAGAGAGATAGGCAGACTCTGAAGCCAAGCCAGATAAAGACCTTGAGAGCAGACTTTCTATTTTTTCCATGTCTCAGTCCTGTGTCTTCAAAAGAGTAATGAAGATGCACTCTTTGGGGGCATGAGTCCCAGTATATGATATCTTAGGTAGAGCAAAATACTTTTTCTAACAGATACTTTTATCTCTGGAACTGTAGGAGACTGATTAGAAACAGTTGCTGAAATCAATTCTTCTGCCTTTAACTATGTGATTATGTTTATGTAATAGAATTTAAAATTATGGCTAACCATCTATTATCCTTTTTTTAGGTTTGTATTCAGTTGTGACAGTAAGAAGTGCACATTTGCTGACAGTCACATTTGTTGTCTTTAGCTATTGTTTGTCTCAGGCTAATATTTATTCTATTTCAGTTGTTTAATGTCATTTATACCTAACTAGTCATGTTGGCAAACTTAGTTTGTCATATAGGAGGATTGGAAAATATCGTGTAGAGTATTACCTCATCTGTATAATGTGAAGCCTAAAGTTGATGAGTTTTGGGTTTCACTTCACATTTTTCAGTCCAAGTACACAATGAATTTTTTTTGAATTTCAGAGCCCAAGATAAGGCAGCCATTCAGCTGAGTGAGTTGGAAGAGGAAATGGATCAGAGGATTCATGCAGTGGAAAGTGAGACCCGGAAAGATGTGAGTTTGTGGATTGACCATTCATTCATTTGGCAGATCTTTAGGGAGCACCTTTTATTGTGTAGCTCTGTTTGGTGTCAAAGTTTGGGGACAGTAGACTTTACTACTTAGTATTCTATATCAAAATATCAAACTTCTAAATTTGAGGCACATAAATGATTTTTATAACCAGAAGTATTTTATAATAGAAAGTTGAAGAGATAGAGAGATTGTAAGCTGAGGACATAGCTCTCCACGACTGGTATGTATAGCATAAGACTCATGTGTGTGGGAGAGGTGGCGGCATGCATAGGAGGTCAGAGGCCTCTTGGAAATGCTTGACGTGGATTGGAGGACTGGAGTCAGGCTTGGCGAGAAGATGGCTGAATATCTCCCTGTATATTGTTCTCACTACTCAACTTTAAATCTCTATTTCAAGTTAATTTAAAATCCTGTCTCCTAGCTGTAGTATTTTGTGATGAAATTTCATTATCATTGGGATTCTTAAGTTAAAATTATATATCTTTAGTCATTTCCTTGGGGGGAGGTTTGTTTTGCAGTATAAAATTTTTTGTTCTGTTGATGTTTGCTGAAAGCAGAAAATATACACATTTTCATTGTGTGGATGATATTAGGATATAAAATTCTATTTTGGTGCTGAGAGGCAATAAAAGTGCAAGTCCCAGTGCTGGCATCAAGCAGATAAAAGTCTATGTCCTGACTTGGCTCTTACCATGGCCAGATGGCACTCGTAAAGTAATCTCTCCTGTGAGTCTTTGCCCTGCCACCTGCCAGCCTCAAGGAGGATTAATCATGATGACGTATGTAAACTACTGAGAAGTGTGGCCTTTGGTAGGTCCTACCATGGCTGTTACTATCCTTTTCTGTGCCTTCTTTGTTTCCTTTCAGATAATTTATCTTACTTGTCTTTATCACACACAAAGTTCCATTTGGGCATCTTTGTTATCTTTAAAAAATATTTTTATTAATTCTTAGAGAATTTCATACACTTGCTTTTGATTAAATGCACAACTCCTCAGCTCCTCCCAGATCTACTGGCCTTTCTCTACCCACCCAACTACGTGATATTACCCTGTTTTCTTTTAATCCTGTGTTTGTCCAGTTTAAGCTCCCCAAATACTTGCTGGGCCAATTGTTATTGTAGCTCACAGGGTTCCCATCTGGGTGAACTGATGATTACTTTTTGGCTCTGTTAGAACCTTGCATACTGTGAAAGATAGCTGATAGAGTTGAAGTTCCTGGGTCAGTACTTATTTGATTTGTCTGTTTCATAGCTCAAATATGCACTGTCTTTAGCAGCAAGGTCTTATCATCAAATTCTGGGGTGTAACCGAGAGCAGTGGTAATAGTATGTAACATTCATGGGGTCTAGTGGACTCCACTGACCAGAAACTCAAAAGAGGCGATTCATTCTTGAAACTGGGTTTTCTATTTACTAGTATGTGCTGGCTTATAGGGGTATTGTCACTTTGTTACCCTTTATAGGGTGACTCCATTTAAACTTTTAAAAGATGAAATATATGTATGGAAGAGTCTACAGTAGCAGGTTTGTTTGTCCTGTCTCTTAATAACAAGTGTAAGAACCCTATGGATGTCATATTTAACTGATAGCTGGTTCAGGGTACATGGCCCAGGGTTGGTGCAAATGATTTTTTTTTCCTTTTTATGACACAATCCTCTTGTGTTTAGAAACAAAAAAAATCCATTTTTAACTTTCCTTTAAAACCTTCTATCATGGTTTAATCTGTTCTTCCATTCATTGATCAGGTAGTTCTCATATACACATGCTACACTATAACCAACTCTCATTGCTTCCAGTACTGACCAAATCCATTGTGGGCTGACCACTTTGTATTAGATAAACATTTAAAGTTATCATGGTCTCATTCCTGAGGACTCTAATTCTCTTCTTCATCATTTCTTTATTCCTTAGCAGTTTTTGTTTTGTTTTGTTTTGTTTTGTTTTGTTTTGTTTTGTCTCCCTTGTGCAGTATTGTTTAGGTCATGATGGTGTTAAGATATCAATGGATGTAGCTTACCTGTCTCTCTGGGATATACACTTTCGCAGCAGATTTACTAGTCTTCTCGTTTTACAATATTTTTTCTCCCTTTTTTGTGATGATCCCTGAGCTGTACATTCATGAGTTGTGTTTTATGAGTATCCATTGTGACCAGGCACCTCACAACCAATTGTTCTCAGTATTTTGATCAGTTGTAGCTTTCGTTACTGGTCTTCAGCTTCCAAGAGATGCTTCTTTGATATGTGTGTATAGGCTTAGGGTGTGGGGGGAAGTAGTAGCTACACTTACTTATTTTTGGCTATGAGGATGAGTATTTAGAATACAGTTACTTATTATTCTGGTTTAGTAAAGTGGTAGGAGTAGATTCTCCTCTAAGGTCCATGACCTCACTAGTCTAGGGTAGTATGAGAAGTCTTGAGTACAAAACATAATTTTCCTACTGTTGAGTAGCCCTCATATACAATTATACAACCTTTGGTTATCACCAATATATGTGAGTCACTCTTAGAGACTTCATGCCATGTTGGTCATTGTTGTGGTATGGTAAGCATTCAACTGAATAGGGCTTTTTGTTACTTTTCCCCCTTGTCAGCTTTTATAGTCTTTCCTAGACCTATGAAAGCTGATTTTTTTTTTTTTTGGTTAGTGCTCTGTGAAAAGAGTATGACATCTTTAGCAACAGGGACTGATAAAAAATTCTGGGAGTCAACCAAGGGCAACAAAATAGTCAATATTGTTTTTGAAGTCTCTTGGACTCCTTTGACTTAAAAGAGGGTTTTTCATTTCTGGTATTGGTAATTTTGTTAATCTATGGCTCTTGAGGAGTGCATTGTCAGTCCAAGTGACATATTGAAGATTTAAGTGTATATATATATATATATATATATATATATATATATATATGTATGTATGTATGTGTGTGTACATTTATATGTACTTTTGATAAAGAATATTGATAAATAAAAAATGTTTCCTTATGTTTTCCCCTCAAAAGATGTAGTGTTATTTTGCCCCTGTTCCATACTGTATTGACTTTCTTTATATTCTTCAATTAAACTTTCTACCACTTTTTTTCCCCATTTTCTTATTTGAGTCACTTGTAGACTGCTATTCCCCTCTCTAATGTCAACTCCTGCCCTCTTGGTACATTTTTACTTTCCTAGTTTTTATGTTTATTTCAGGTTAAATATTCACACCTGAAGATTTGGATCTCAGAACCACAGATGAAAGAGCATTCACATTTCTCATTTTATGTCTGGGCTACCTCTCTCAATTTAATCTTCTCTACTTCCAACCACTTGCCTACACATTTCATAATTTCACTTTTTATTACAGTTGACTAGTATTCCATCATGTATATGAACCACATATTCACTATCCATTCCTCAACTGAAGCACATTTAGGTTGTTTCCTTTTCCTACCCATTATAACTGGGGTCTAATAAAATCTCAGAAGTTGTTCTAAACCACATTTTCCTGATTTTTAAGGATATTGAACATTTTAAAAATACTTTCTTAGGTATATATATATATATATATATATATATATATATATATATGTTTTTCAGTTTTTGAATGTGTCTTCTTTTGACTCTTTGTTTTTTGAGTCTATACCATTAACCTGGGTGTCTGAAGTAACCAAGGGGCCCTCATTGTCTACTCAGCTGATTTTTAGTTGCATTCTAGACAAGTGAACTTTTACTCAAGACACCACTTGACTTTGACTTCTTTAGGACCTTCATATTGGTTCAGTAGTCCTTTACTCTTAACTTCAATTCGCTTTTGCTTTGTGAAGCTAATTCCTGTGCAAAGATGTTTAAAAAGTTTTATTTAGTTTTATTTTATGTGTGTAAATGTCTTGCTTGCATGTATTTCTATGCACTGTGTGCATGCCTTATATTCATGGTGGTCAGAGGAGAGCATGAAATCCCCTGGAACTGGAAGTACAAATGGTTGTAAGCTCTTGCGTGGTTAGTAGGAACCAAACTCAGGTCCTCTGCAAAAGCAGCCAGTGTTCTTAACTTCTGAGCCATCTCTCCAGCCCCAATATCTGGATTACCTATGTTGACTATATAACAGCTAGCAGGATAGATCCAAATTAATGCTAGCAACAAAGTATCTACTGAATTTAAATTGGCTATAGTCTAATGCTAAGCAGTAGACAAGAATGTGTACAGAAATGGCGATTTGTTATAATTAACAAGGATTTATTGAGTATGCCAGGGCTGACCTTAAAGGAATATCTTCAGCTAAATGGTTTTGGAGAATAGACTCATACTTAATACATGAACAGAGAAGGAGATATTTGTGTAATACTTTGTGGAAGAGGTTATGCCTTGATTAGCAACAGTACAGCTCCTGGTAAGACAATCACCAACACCTTCAAGGATTAACGTCTCTTGCCAATGAATTAATGACACCAATAAAATAATTAAAACAATATGAAAAGAGGACCAATAATAGTAAAAGAGAAAAAAAGAGAAACTTGAAAGAAATAAATTGTTTAGTCCACTTTAAGTATGGGGTACACTTAGAGTTAAACAGAGTTTTGATTAGTGGGAAGACATGAGTCCTCTTACCCTTAGCTGTCCAGTTGCACTTGTTCATAACAAAACTCTAAGAGTTGCAAAGTTACACATAGTCTTTTAAGGGACTGAGTCTAAGATCATAAAAGGACAGTCTCAAGCTCCAAATTCTTCTTCAGAGAAAGCTTTGTGCCTTAAACTAATTAAGATGGTGAATTTGGTAAGGAGGTAAGTCATGGCTTATGTGAGAAGAGGACATGAATTTCTCATCATCTGGGGACTTTAAAAAAATCACTATACTGATTTGGTGAGCCAAATCAGCACAACTGCTATTTTTTTTGTCTTTTCTCTATGTTATTTCTCTTTCTCCAGAATTGTATATTATTGAAAACTGCTTTGTTGTCATTAGAGTCTTGAATTTCTTATTTTATTCCCAACAAGTTGTAATCTAGTCTGACCTGTTGGCCAAAGACCATAAACTTGTCTTGCAGCCACAAGGGGAGGAAGTGCAAGGTCAGTTTTGTCTTGCAAGTACACTCTGAGTGGGAAAATGTGAATGACAAGGTTACATTTCTTCTGTTCCTGCAGGTGCTTACCTGTCAGTTCTTTGTCATAAAGGACAGACAGCAAGGGGACTCAGACTGCTTTTGAGAGCAGAGAAAGGCAGCTAATGGATCTGTAGTGTAAAAGTCCTGTTCCTAAGGGGGAGATTGTTGTTGCCTTTTATAGATCCCTTATATCTTAATCAACTTTTTCATACACTATGTTTTCTAGCATGTAGCCTGCAGTCTGGAAAGTTTCCAGTCTTATACTAGCATCTTCTTTTCTAAATTAATCTGAGTCTCTCTTCCCTAAGCCCATTCCTTCTTCTACCTTAGTTGAGATGTCTTGCATAGCAGTGCCTGCGCCCTCTGGTGTGCCTTTTAGTCACTGTTTCTACAGAGAATTTAATGGGAACATATCAGAGTGTGCAACATACACTCATGTGCTGAGTACATGTCTCCACTTCATGTATTACAGTGGGCCCATCATCAATGCCTGAGGATGTTGTAGCCACCTTACCTGGTGTAAGTGCATTTCATCATGTTGACTCAAGGACAAAATCACCTAATAACATTTCTCAGAGTGTACCCCTGTTAAGGAAACCTCCCAGCTTATCACAGTGACGCTACACTCTGCATAGACATTTATAATGATGATTTGAATTCAGGTAAAATGAAAATGATAGGACAACTGGTCACTGGTTGTGCCTTCCTGAGTCCTGAGTCGTCATAGGATGTATGTGTTCACTAGATCCCATAGTTATGTTATATCTTCTGACAGAAATGGTTGACTGATTCACTGCTGTGTTGTGGTATTATCACAGTATCATAGTCTTAGAGACTGCACTTCAGGATGATGTGCAACTTTTGACATTCTGCAGTTCTTCCATTTCTGTAGGTTTCAAATCCAACACTCCTGCACACCTAAAATGTCCTGATGTCCTTCTCTCATCTATTCTCACCCTTACAATTTCAGAGCATTTTTGTCAGGTTAGCTCAATATGAAATGCTTCATATCGTTGGTTGTTTGAAGAGTGTTTAAGAGACAGAAATTATCTAAATGATGTCTTTCATTTCTCCTGTAGGAAAAACGCAAAGCAGAGGAAGCCCTCAGTGACCTCAGACGTCAGTATGAAACAGAAGTTGGAGACCTACAGGTGACCATTAAAAAGTTAAAAAAGGTATGTATATGGCATAGAGACATTCTAGAAACATCTTTGATATCTTGCTACCCAAAACAAAAGAGTTAATCCAATTGAAAATGAAAAACATTTAGATTTGAAGCAGAAGAAATAGTGACTTTGCTGAGTCAGTTCAACTCCTTGAGAGACTCTTATTTTTAAAGGTCCTCTATTTCTTCTAGTTATTGGGTCATTTGACTTATAACATGGAATAATAAAATGTCTTATCCTTAAACAGTTCATCAAACACATTTCTTTCATTTTCATTCACTAAGTGCTATGAGTGAGTTCCCTGTATCCAGAGAAAAGAGTTTTCCTAATTGAAAGAGAATAGCCTATGTCAGGTGTTTCTGTGTTCTTGTTCTTAGCTTACTTCAAGGTGCATAGCAGATACTTAGTAAATATTAAGTGAAATAATTTTTTTTAAGTAGAAAGTTTTTGGTCTAATAGTAACCTGATTATTGAAAAGTAAGAAAAATTTGTGGAAACATGAGCAAAAGTGTCTTTGAGTACTGGTATTCCCTCTCTTGGTTCCAATGAACAGGTTGTTTGTACTCTAAGATTTGCTTGCACTTGTTAATAAGTGACTGGAGTGCGGCAGTGGAACAGGGGAGTTTTGTAACACTTACCGGCTTCTGGGGTGCAGATACTTGTAGTGTTATTGACATCATGCTATCAGATTTACATATCCATGAACAGAAATAAACACTGACCTGTCATTATAAGATGGTTCTATGTCAAAATTAAGTTCACATCTTACATGTGGTTGTTTGCATAGTAGTCGAAATAACTTAAGTAAACAGATGTGGAAATTAAATATTTCAGTAGTATTGGAGGCCATTAAGGGAAAGTCATTTTCTTCTGGTCAAGAGCACACAATCTATTTAATCTGTGTAGAAACCTAACTTTTGAGGCTACCCAAAACAAAAGAGTTAATCCAATTGAACCAGATAGTCTCCTGTTTTAAGGGATCACACTTAAGAAAAGTAGATTCACCCAAAGCCATGATAAAGAGGTCGGAGGAATAATTAGTCATTTAGTAAGATACTGGAGTCAACCTTCCCAGGAACTCTACATTCTATGCAGTTGCTTACCCAGTGACATTTATGGAGCTTCCTTTTTTTCTGTCAGCTTTTTTTAATTATTCAGAAAAATGTAACTTTTTTTTTTCCATTTCTGTTCAAGGCATGCTTTTCCCAATGTAGTCTCAATTCCTCCCCAGCACTTTTTCCTCATGTGACACTTGTCTGCATTGTGGCTGACCTACATTGCTGAATATGCCAGTCTAAACTTAAAGGGCATGTCTTCTTTTTCAACATCTTCCTCCCATGGATAGCTACAAAGATTAAAGCTTGCCTGGCTAAGGTTTTCCTTTTAAATTTTAGTAAATTTGTCCTTTTGTTTTCTTTTGAGTCTCTCATTAAATTTATTTGATTTTGAGACTAAGACTCTCAAGAAGGGAGCCCAACTTTCCTAGTAACATTTGGCACCCCAGGTGAGACTGCCCATAACATAAACATCACTAGCAGTTCAGTAAAGTTATGTTACATTTAAGTTTGTCATTGTCACCTACGATCATGTCAATCTCTGAAGTGACTGAGAATCATATAGGAGTGTTCTATAATGCCATCAAGTCATTATTATCTTATATGTATTTTAAAATAATAACTAGACGATTATACTATGAATAGATTCCAGAATGATGAATCAGCTTACCACTGAGTCTTTTAGTCATTGCTTTTATTTATTTCTATAAGTTCCCTGGTCTTTACATTGCAAGGATGGATGTCAAAAATATGACCTGATATAACATGTGATGAGGTTTGAACAGTGAGATATCATAAGTGAGAATGATGAGGCCTCAGTCCTCATTGAAATTATATCAATTTTTCCTTATAGCGTGTAGATGTATCTTTCTAATATTTTCAGTCCTTGATTTCTCATTTAAAGCATGGTTTTAATCATGTTTAACCATAGTAATTGGTATTTTATTGACTCTAATTTACTAAGATCATTCCCATAATTTGAAAATGCTAAATATGAACTCATTTTTGATGACCATATTAAATGAGGACTAAGTTTCAGGGAGGGAGAATGACCTACTCAAAATTATAGAGCCAGTGAGCAATGGAGTCTTTCTTTCTTGTCTGTTCTAGACTTCATGCCCATCAAATATGTTTGCTGTATAAAACAGTAAAAATATTTATAGGCGAAAATATTAAAGGCTCTAAAAAAATTAAAAAATATACTTTAAAGATTATTATAATACCATTATTTTTGAACAACAGATTCTGAGAGTCTTAGGTATTTTCCTTCAGAATTTTCTTCTGTGAAGTCATAATGCATCTCTCTTTTTATAGACCTATCATTTTAACCAATTTTAAGTTCAAGTTATATTATACAAGCATAATAATAAAAAACAACACAAAAGTGGCATATTGAACACACAGATCAGTGGACTAAAGTACCTAAACATAGATCCACAAAGCAACAACCACCTGACTCTCATAATTGGAGAATCAACAACCTTTCTTAGCAAGTGGTGCTAAGTATATCTGGATATCCACATGTAGAAGGCTGAAACCATATCTACCTTCTGTCCTGTAATAGAATCAGCTCAAAAGGGTTTATGAAAAGAAAGCAATTCGGCAGAAAGCAATGCCTAGAAGAGCAGACAGTCTTCACCAGACAAGAAACCTAGTTAATATTCATTGTCACAGTCACATGGAAGTCCTGTCTCATGATGGCTTCTGGCAAGATGGAGAATGCTCGTAGTTAAAGTGCATGAGCATGATGGAATCTGGGAAATATTTTGGCTAGTGCAGAATCCCTCTGTTTAGGGACACTTGCAAACAAACCTTCACAGACCTGGGATGTTACTTCTTCATGATCAGGCCTTTTTGTTTTGATTTGCACTACTAGAGTTTGAACATAAGGTCTTACACATGCTAAGAAAATATTGTACTTTGAGCCTTTTTTTGACATTTCTTTTTGAGACATAGTCTTGATCTATTTTTTAGGTTGACCTTGAATTTATTGTGTAACCCTAGAATTATGATCTTCTTGTCTTTTCCTTCTAGCTTCAATTATATACCACCACAGCTGACTCAGGGGAAAGTTTTTATTAGATATTTTTAATCTCTGATATGAATATATCAAACAGGAAGCAGACTTCATGTATGCACATGTATAGTTCATTTTCTTTCTGTGCATATTTATCTTCACATCAGGTTTATGTGCTTAGACGTCAGTGATATCAATTATTTTTGTAAATATTTCTTCAGTTCACTATTAATAAAACACAAGAGTCTGACATTAACATTCCTCTTATTGTTTTTATTTCTAGCTGATTATGGTAGTGAACATCGTTTCTAGCATTCATTTGTATTTCTAGAAACTGGGAGGTAGGATTGTCAAGAGTTTAAAAGTAGCCTCAGCAACTAATCAAAATTGAGGTCATCTTGTGTAATATGAGATTATCTCAAAACATAATAAAATAATTCATATACTCTAACAGAAGGTAAGACTGTTACAAAGTGAAACAGAAAGCTTTACTCATACAGGATGAAAGAGAATGCCCACATTCTTTTAGTAAATAAGGAAAGCAAGGATTGGGTGTTTTCTTATGGAGTTGTTTCAAAACTGACTTTTACATTTTAGAAGTGTTTAAAAAAATTTTACATTTAAAAGTGTTTTTAAAAAATGCATTTAATAATAAAAGTTCCTCTGCAATTGTTTGCATTATTTAAAACAAATGTTTAAATGATATAGGTGTTGTATCATTTATTGATCTGTAGTCATAAAATGTTAAAGATTGAAAACTGCTAGAATTCCCATGTTCATATCCAGAAATATCTCTAGTCTTCACCAAAATTCTTCTAAATGACTTTTCAAAAATACCTAAGTTTTGTTTACTCTTTCAGCTTGAAGAACAATCGAGACACATAAGTCAAAAGCAAGATGTCACAGCATTAAAGAAACAAATTTATGATTTAACAATGGTAAGAATCATTCTTCACTGAATTAAATTTATTTCCTGTTAGATACTGTCTTAGTTGCTTTTCTGAAAGAAAGATGAAGAACCACACCCAAAAACTACTTGAAGAGGAAGTGTATTCTATCTTATAACTGTCAAATAACAGTCCATCACCAGGAAAAGCCAACGGAAGAAGAAAAACAAAAGCCAAGCAAGAACACTGTTTACCGATTTATGCCCATGGCTTACTTTCTTATTAAACTTAGGACCACCTGCCCAGGGATGTCACCACGCACAGGTCCCATCCACATCAATCATTAATCAAGAAAATGCCCAACAGATTTGCCTATAGTTTGGTCTTGTGGAGGTGTTTCCTCAGTTGAGATTTCCTCTTTCCTAATGACTCTAACTTTTATAAAGTTGACACAAAATGAACCAACACAGACAACATGCACATATTCATGGTATTTATTTTTTCTGTGATTCTGGAATAAAAGCTTAATGAGAAACTGATACTGTAATTACAGGAAATCTTTGAAATATATTTGAGTAACTATATTATGAGGGGGTGCAATCAAATACCTCTTATGACTAGTTTTGTTTTTTTTTTAAATTTATGTATTTAATGTAATGCACGCAAGGTGCTGAGTGCTATCTTATCGTGATTAACCCCATACTTTTAGAAGCATCCCTGCTTTTGCATGTGTGATTTCTCTTGCCTTCAGTTTGTCTTTCTGGTCTCTTCTATATGTTCCCATTTCTATTTGCTTTCTCCGTTCCAAAAATCAGTAACAATTACCTCTGCTTTGGTTTTATTTTAGATTACTTTCAAATATTAAAAGCATTTTACTTACTCTGTCTCTTGAACTGGGATTTCATAGCTTTCCATCTTGTCAGTTCTCTTTATCCCACTTAGGAGGGAATTTTCCTATCCTCACAGTCTCAGCTTATCTTGATTGCTGCATCATAGTTGCCTTCATGTTTGGATTGACTTTCATGAAGAGTTGCTTGCTTTCTTGGATTTTCTGATTCTGTTCTTGGTTTCTTGTTTTAAAAGACCTCTTAGTTAGGATTATTATTGCTGTAATGAAATACCATGACAAAAAGTGACATGGGAATGGTTTATTTCACAACTGCTCTATATAACAGCTTATCAAAAGCATTGAGGGTAGGAACTCAAGCAGGCCAGACACCTGGAGGCAGAATCTGATGCAGAGGTCAAAGGGGAGTACTGCTTACTGGATTGCTGCCTCTGTGTTTTTCAGTCTGAATTTCTTTCTTTTTTCTTTCTTTATTTTTCTATACATATATATATACATACATACACACACATATATGTATATATATATATATGTATATATGTATATGGAGAGTCAAGAGTAAGTCTACCCACAATGGGCTCTGCTGTTTCATACCAATTAAGAAAATGTCTGACAGGCTTGCCTAGAGCCAAATCCATTAACTCTGGCTTGTGTAAAGTTGTTGTAAAACTAGGCAGTACAAAAATACTCAGCCATCTTTGTGATGTCATGACTACTGTAAAATTATTTTTCTTGAAAGTATTAATTTTGGAGGTTATGAAATGACACATTTTATGGGATTGTTTTAATCTTTCTGTACACACACATATATAGATGATTTTTTCTTCATTATAACTAATATTTTCTTGAATAAGTGAACCTTGAATGTCATTAGACTCAGTACTTCTTGTTTCTGGGGAAAATGAAGTAGTACATAACATAACTCTCACACTCTTATCTTTCCCTGTTCCTCAAGCCTTCTTTTTCAAAGAATCAATTATTGATTCAACTATTGTTTATTATTTACATTTTAAAAAATTAAATTCTTAAAATCATTCCTACCTTTATATGTGGCATTTGTTACCAAATTATTATAGACAAGAGTTGGTCACTATGCCTTTGTTTATTGGAGGCAGACAGACTGGTGGACAGACAGACACAGACATGTATATACACACTTCCTTTAAAGTTTGTCTAAATGACACAGAGATTCAGTTGTCTCCACCTCCTCAGTGTTGGGATTAGAGAAAATTGCTACCATCGCCAGTTTGTTTTAATTTATTTTGCCTGCCCCCCTTTTTTTAAACTATTTATTTTTACTTTATGTATATGGGTGCTTTGTTTGGATGTACCAGGCTCAGTACCATATATGTGCCTGTTATCCATAAAGGGCAAAAGAGGGCTTCTGATCCCCTGGAACTGGAGTTACTTATGGCTGTAAGTCATTATGTGGGTTATGGGACTAGAACCCAGATCCCATGGAAGAGCAGCAAGTATCTTTTATTCCTGAACCACCTTTCCAGGCCCCTAGCTCCACTTCTCATTCTGCCTGCTGGTGTGCTCAGGTTCTCTGAAAGAGCAACAAGCATCCTTTATTCCTGAGCCACCTTTCCAACCCCCTATCTCCACTTCTCATTCTGCTTTCAGGTGTGTGACTGGGCCACTTGGCATTTTTGGTTTCTACTGCAGGATCTCCTAGGCATTTGTTTTTAGAATGTTGCCTTGGTGCATTTTAGTGGCATAATTAAATATGGAGGCAGGCTAACTTTTATAAAGGGCTTTATTTATCTCACAGTTGTAGGGATTCAAGAGCTTAACTTTGCTGTGGACTTCTTGGTAGAATGCTGGAATATGATCCAGAAGGGTAAACAGGAAACAGCAACTGACTTTGAAAGATCACTTCCAAGGACAGCACTCTAACTGACCTAAGGACCACCTACTTGGCTTCTTCTTAAATGGTTTCATGCCACTTCTAAACCTGGAAACTGGGAGAAAAAGCTCTGTGGTGGAGGATAAACTCTTAAATTATACCCCACATATTGCCAACTCTCTTTCCAGACTCTCTTCTTTGAGGGGGGCATCATCTAGTTTTCAATTCCTAGTAATATGTTTAAGTCACTTGACTGTATATGATTCCCCTCATCTATACCTTTAACTGCAAATGGTTTGTTTCCATTGTAATTTCATATTCATGTTTTTTTTCTGGAATGGAAAAATAGACTATCTATGCGCACAATCAGCTATTTGAACTGCAAGTGTCCAGTGATTTCTTTTTTAAAGGGAAATGTAAAGATTTATAGCTATGCATGTCTGTTGTTAATTACATTTTAAGAAATTAGATGAAAGTTTTTATTATTACAAGCAACCAGTGTAACTAATTTTAGAAAGGTGTTCAGATATTTTGTTTTGTTTAATTTTCCAATAACATGATTATCAGTCCTTGTTTATTATAGTTTTGGGCAGATGTCAAGTACAAAATGAAAAACAACCTTAAACTTTGCTAATGTACAATATTTGAGCATATAATTGGTTCTTTGAACAGGAAGATGTGAAGAACATAGGGGAGGTAGGAGATTTATTTTTGTGGAGTTATGGTTTGAACTGCTTTGTGTTTCTAGGAGCAAGAAACCCTGAGACTAATGCCCGTTGTGGTTCATTTTCTTTAGGAAAATCAGAAACTCAAGAAAGATCTTTTGGAAGCACAGACGAATGTAGCCTTTCTTCAGAGTGAATTAGATGCTTTGAAAAGCGATTATGTTGACCAGAGTCTGAATTCTGAACGGTATGAAACTATTCATAATAGAGGGTTATTCATTAACACTGGTAAAAATTATACATATATATTTCTATAGATAGTACCTTTACTGACAGATTTTCTCATGTGTGTATCTCTCTGTGTGTGTACGTATGTGTGCTTAATATTTTTAAAAGAGTTCCCATTTGATTTATTTGCATCTTAGGACAGTGTAGGGTTTTAAAATGTTTGGTTTCATTGGTTGTGGGAAGAAAATACTATGTAAAAACAATTTTCTGTTAAAACTACTGTCAGATAGGAATGATGGCCTAACACAAAAGAATGAGATTATTAATTATTCAGGGCATTGGCTTTGAGGAATCGGTATTAATAACTTAGAACCTCACATAATTAAAGTCAGGCATTCTTACATGAGAGGTACAGTTGTATGCATATGCAGAGAATAAATTTGGCATTTGGGGGGAACATTTTATGTATTTTCAAACTTCACTCAGAATTACGTGTTGTAGTATTAAATGGTATAACTTTTATTGGATATATTCTGTCTAGATCCTTAGAAATAATGAGCTGTGAGTTCAGCATACATAAAATAAAGGAGACATATGCCACCACCGTTTAAAAATTTCAAGTTCAGTTAGGAAAGCCAAGACCAAAAGTTCAGCAGCGTGCACTGAGGACCAGCAATAATACCATTAGCAACATGAGGGCTGGGTAACTGCCCTGTTTCCGCCTGTGTTAAGGAAAATCAGGCAGTGATTATAGGAGGAAAGATCAGCTTGTGTTGGGCCATTGAATAGGACCCAGTAAAAGCAGTATCACTGAAGGAAGTAGCATTGTCATCTACCAAGAGTATTGTTGGCACCTTATTAATGTTTATACCTTCATCCACAGGCTACTCTATCTTTTAGTAATCTTTATTATCTTCAGTTAACTGATGGGAAAAAGAAAGTTTTATAAATGTTGTAGTTAAGGGGAAAATTAGAGAAACAACGTAATAGAGAAGGAAGACTGGCGTGGGGAAAAATGATCAGACCGTTAGAAAAAAAATGCTTTGAATAGCAAACAACCTTTTAAAACACACTAAAAGTGAATAAGTTACTTTATAGAAATTCCGAAAGGGCCCAGAAATTTTGGCTAAAAAACTTTGATTCCTATATGCAACTGTATCATAGCTTGACAGTGAAGGACAGGTTTCTCCAGATGAGGCTTGGTAGCTCATAAACATAGGAAGCTAGTGATGAGGTTGTGTCATATTCTCACACATGCTGTCTGTTCTCTCCTCACGAAACATTACATACAATTTTACAGGGATCTGGAAATAATCCGAGAGTACACAGAAGATCGGAGTAGTCTTGAGAGGCAAATTGAAATCCTCCAGTAAGTTCTCATATAAAATGCTCATTGCATTTTAGCTATTGTTTGTTAATAAAACATGTGCCATTTGTCACATGAATTGACATGTCCAGTGTTCAGGTCACTGTTTCTTCTCACTGCAGTACATTTGGCATGTCCACTTCAATTTCTGACTCACTTGCCTCTAACTAAATCACTCCAGTGCAGTCTAGTTGTCAAGGTCCCTCCAGGCTGGGAAAGTGTGTCATACATCTGTCTTATTCCTCTGTGAGGAATGCAGCCTTCACCCTCATGGTTCTCTATTTCATATCTCGAGAGCTCCCTCAGGTCCTCACATGAACAGAGCCATAGGATAGTGTTTAATCTTTCAATTTACTTACTACAGATATATGTTTTATTATTTTTTATTTATTAAAAATCCATTTCCAAATAAATTCTATCCTAATCTATCAACTTCACAACTAAGTTGTAGTAATTATATCTTCTGAGGATCTTTTTCAAGAAACCTTGATATTTCCCAATTTGTTTCACTTACGCAGTGTATTCTTTGATTTTCAGTTAACTAAATGAAATAATATGTGGGCCTGGACAAATATTTACAGTTTTTAATGTTCTTATCTCTCTGTTGTGGAAACTTTAGAAGTCACTTTTTATATAGTCTTATTAATTCATTCACTTGTTAGCTCATTCAGTAGATTTCTCAGTTAACAGCTTTCATGGGTGAGATACTCCTGGAACTGAGGAAAGATTAGTGAGTAGCAGGAAAAAAAACCTCTCTCCTTATGAGTCTAGTAAAGAAGAGGAAGACAGAAGTTGAGTACTCATAGAAACGACTATGATATATATCAACAAATGAGAGAAGTATAAAAAAGGAAAAGTACATGCTCCCCATGGAGAACTATGGAAGGTCATTAAAGAACTCTTGGTGGAAGTGATTACAGAGCTGAGATATGAAGGATGAAGTGGCTATGAACAGGAAAATTAGATACTCTATGGGACAGGGACTCTGTGGTCCTTAGTTTTTAGCCTAGGGAAGCAGATGTCAAATAACTTTCATGATATCCCGTGAAGGAATTACTTAAGTTCGTATTTACTCCACAATACATCTGAGGTCAATAACCAAGTATATGATTGATACAGAAATCCCATCAGGGTGTAAAGAGGATATGATGTAGGATATAGCATGCTGCATCAGTTCCTGCGGCTGAGCTGTGTGGACTGGAGAGCAGAGACCTACGTTAATCCTGTAGACACAGAAATTATCTAAAGGAGTGAAATTATCTAAAGTGAGTGCCACAGTCCAGCAAATTTATTCTTAAAATTCTCCCAGATCTTCAGGAAAGAGAACTAATCAATTCAATCATTGCAATTTGTGTCTGTCTCTGACTCTGTTTCTGGGGTTCAAAGGGAAACAGAAGCTAACAAAAAGCACGGCATTGTCTGTGCATTCTGAATGTCACTGCCTCAAACTGAGTGGGAACATTGATCCCCAGTGCTTCCTGTTTTTGTTTGTTGACTTCTTTCCTGTATAGAACAGCTAACCGGAAGCTGCATGACAGTAATGATGGCCTCAGGAGTGCACTGGAAAACACTTACAGCAAGCTCAACAGATCTTTGGTATGTGATAGCATCTCACAAGATATTCAGTTCTTTCTCTTGATAAGTGTTTTGTGGAAGAAAACCACATGATATTTTGGAATAACTACATATGAGACCCCCTTGACATGAAGTAAAAAGATAAGTTTTCTAAATTAAAAATATGTTCTGCCCAAAGGTAGAAATAAATGCAATGTTGTTTACCAAACTCTTATACATGCTAAGAAGCTAGAGAAAGATGCTGAATATGTAATTTTAGCCGTGTAGGGTTAAATAATATAAGAACTAATTAGAAGGACAGCAAAGTATAAGAAAAAGTGAGAAATCTTGTAGACATAAGAAAAAAAAATGTTTCCAGTCAAAAGGGGCAGCTATGCCTCTGACTTGCTCACGTATGTTCCCCATGGCAGACTCTAGAGAGAATGATGGCTTTAGGTTCTGGATTTTAAACCTTCCAGTCAGAAACAAGTTTCTCCAGATTACATTTGCAATGAAGCCTCTTATCCAACTTTTGTGACTCAGCTTTAGGCAGGAGGATCTAGTGTCATATTAGAATGCAGAACAATTACTCAACAAGATGATGCTTCCAAAAAAGACAAATCTGGGAAAGCTGATGTTATGGGATCCTCATGTATCTGAGTAGCTATCAGAGTCTTGTGGAAAGTGCAGCAGAGCTGTGTAAAAACTAAAATTGATGAGAAAGAGAAACCATGTGTGTTATCTTTGATGAAACTTTCCAAATGATTTTTTCATGTTTATATTTGCTCATGTTCAGTCATAAATTTTATTTGTATTGGGAGTTAAATTGTGTGGATTTGCATAAACGCATGTGTCTGTGGTATAGAAAATGTCTACATACTACACAACCACTTGTTATTGCAGCGTATGAACAACATATCACCAGGAAATACAATTTCTAGAAGCAGTCCCAAATTTAATCACCATTCTTCTCAACCACTGGCCTATGATAGGTATGTAGCACCTGATTTTTTTATTATCTGAGTTGTAGATTGTGTTGAAACTAAGAAAAATTATCTTAGAGCTGAATTAAAATAGAGAAATATATTTAAGCAATGTTTTGTATTTATTATGATCTTATATTTGCGTTCACAAATGTCAAAGAGGTGAAACAGTAAGTAAACATATTTCATAGACGGAAGTTATTTTCTCAAGATGTTTTGAGCTATTGTATGCATACACACCATTGCCTAACTCAATTGCATTATGGGTAGTGTTTGCTGTGAGCCTTTTGTCATGATCTGTCAATGTTTATTATTGAAAACAAGTAAAAAGGAAAACATGCATCTAGATTTATGAGTTACTAAATATTAACAGATCTGCTGAAATATCCTAAAAATTAGAATTTAACTTGACTGTTAAAAGGTCAAATAATAAGCAGTGATAAGATATGTGTGTGCTTGTGTGTACATGGGTGCACATGTCCAACATTGCTAACTAAAAGAAAGTTAAGTTTGTGGTATATCAAAGTGTTTAAAAAAACAAAAGAAAAAGAGTATATTACATTTTCCTATGTGTTTGAAGATTTCTAACTCAGGTTTATCCCCTTTTGTATGTGGGGGGAGTACTTCCAGTATAAATAAGTCTGTTCTTACTATCTTGATATTGTTTGGCTTTTTCTTGGGGATATGTGGACATTAAGGAAAGACTAAAGATACAGTTCTATACTAGTCCAATTTGATAAGCCAGTGAGTTTATAAGGCTTACTTACAGGAATAGGAGGTATCTCAAACAACTGTGTCACTTGAAAATCCAATCAAAGCACAGTTGATGATCTACTCCCTCCTTTAATGATGCTCTCCATTCTCTCTTCCTGTGTGGATTGTCATCAGACCCAATATTGTGACAGCCAAGCAATAGCTGCTCAAATTTTAGGTTGGTGATGACCAGTAGTGCTCCCCCACACCTGGTGGTAGTGCTCCCCCACACCTGGTGGTAGCTGATGCTCTTGCTGCCTCTGGGAACGTTCCTCACTGCTCTACTACACCTGGTGGTAGAGGATGCTCTTCCCTCCAGTGGGAAAGTCTCTCACTACAGATGACTATCTGTGTAAAAACATGGTCCTATGGTCCTGATTTTTTTTTTTTTTTTTTGGCTTGAGGCAAGTTTTCTCTGTTGTTTTGGTACCTGTCCCTCTGTAGAACTTGCTGACCTGGAACTCACAGAGATACACCTGTTTCTGCCTTCCAAACGCTGGGATTAAAGGCAGGTGCCATTACCGTCCAGCTTTGGCACTGATTTTTATTTGCTGATTCATTAAATTTATAAAATGTGGCTTATTCATGTATAAGTAGCTGACATTTGCTCTTACTGATAATATATATTTTTAAAATGTGCAGATTTGATGCCACTTTTTCTGGACTAATAGTTAAGAGCATTTTATAGTTCTCAGTAAGATTTAGAGGAAAGCATAAAAGATAAACTCTTCAGAAATCTCATAATTCATTCTTGAATGAACGATGCCACAAATGAGGCTCTGATAATGGAGTAAGAGGTCCTTTTCAGTTTGTTCTAAGAGACAGTGTCTTCATCATATCATCAGGACTTCAGAGAGGCAAGAAAAGCTTCATCTACTTCTCATTCTGAACACAACTAGAAACCACTGTGGCCTGTGCAGATCTTCCTTCCTGGGGGTTAGTGATATACAAAGTTAACAGGGTGCTTTTCCTTTTTATGCTAATATAAAGCTCTGCGTGTGAAAAAAATCTTTAGGCTTGGGATTTTGACTGTTGACTTTTCATCATAGAAGGAAGGGGCCAAAATAAAGAGGGTCACAGGACCTTCACCTGAGTATTCTGTCATTGTCCCCCAATCAGTTGTATGTGTTTTGGCCTAATTGCACACAACCTTAAAGTCTTGAGGGAGGGGTTAGAGTACATATAGAATGGGAATGACTAAGAAAGGGGGCTTTATTTGTGCAACTGTGGAGAAGTCATCCTCCACATTGAGTGAGACTTTCCAGCGCTCACTCACACTCCTGCCAGTTAAGCCTCATCCATGCTCATTAACTAAACACAATAAACTCATTGGTTTTCCAGAGTGAACTTAGGTGAGATTGAAATTTGTTTTGTCATTGGAATTTTGAATGAGAATAGGCCTTGCCTAATTACCCCAAAGGAAAAATTACCTAACACTCCATTTTGAAAACAAACAAAACAAACAAACAAACAAAGGGACTAACAAATAGAAAAGAATTATAAGAAATGTCTAGAAGTAGATAAACTTTTCCAATTATGGCTTAACTGAATTATAGTAAAAATAAAAAACTCTTGTATTCTAAGGATATTTTATTAAAATAGTATAAGATAGTATTTGTATCTAGGGTACTCATTCTTTGTATCAGGAAATAAATCAGCTAATTTAAAAGAATTTTTGTGTATTTTAAGTATATGTGAAGGATTTTGTCCTCATAGAGTATTGCACAGAATGAACTGACTGCTCTTTGTACTTCCTCTTCAATGCTAAGGGAACACCCTGTATCTCCTGGCAAGGGAAAATGTTGTCAGTCTGTCCCTTTGTGCTCTGTACATCTTGAACTCCTTGGTAAAGCTGTCTCCTTTTTTGTCACAAGGTCATTCCATTCTTCATATGCAGATGAGGATTGTGACTCTTTGGCTCTCTGTGATCCTCTGCAGAAGATGAATTATGAAGTTGACAGCCTGTCTGAGAGTTGTTTTGACAGTGGTTTGTCTACTCTGAGAGACTCCAATGAGTGTGACTCTGAGGCAGACTACAAGCACCAGAGAGGATTCCAGAGTTTGCATGAAACACAGGAGAGCCTTGAGGGTGATGCATCCGATACAGATGTAAGCCAGAAACCATAACACTCTGATGACTTCCTTTGATGAAAATTTTCTAATATGTTTTAGTAACAGCATATAACCTGTGTTGTTAAGGTCATGGACAGGAAGTTTAGTCATTAGAATGGATCTTTTTCCCGTATGAAACTAAGGAGGAATTCCCAAAGTTTTGTCTTGAAGAGGACGTCAAGAAGACTCAGCGGCAGTTTTATGTTTCTTTGGTCTGTGATGTATATATGAGAGACATGGTTTTTCATTATTGATTTTTTGATAGGTTCCTGATATAAGAGATGAAGAAGCTTTTGATTCTGAAAGCGTGGCCTCTGTGTTACACTGGAAGCCACAAAGATCTGTTGGTGAAGGCAGCACTGTTAGCTCCTCCAGAAAACCCATCTCAGCTCTTTCACCTCAAGTACGTAGCTACTGAGACCACTCTCTTCATGGCATGTTACTTAGACGAACACTGACTCCTGTCATCACCTATGTGGCTATTTTCCTCTAGGCAGACATGGCGGATAATAACTGTAAACCGACGTCTCAGAAGGCATACAAGATTGTGCTTGCTGGAGATGCTGCCGTGGGGAAGTCCAGCTTCCTCATGAGACTCTGCAAGAATGAATTTCAAGGGAATACAAGTGCAACTCTAGGTAGGACTCTTATTTCCATTGATAACAAAAGAATTACCTTCTATAGCTTGATTTCTTCTCCTCCACGATTATATACACAGATTCACAGGTTAAGAAATCTATGTATTTATCCATGTATTCAGACATTCTGTGTTTGTGTATGTATATGCCCCTGTGGTAGAATTATCCTTTATTTTTACTAAAATATAATTTTAAAAAAAGAACAGGCAATGAGAATTTTTGTAAATAGTAAAATCAAACAAACCCAGCTTAGACATAGAAGGTTCTTTTATTATGCACGTATTTTTCAAGCCTTTTTTTTTTTTTTTGAGCGCCTGGTACGGTTGTAATGCTGAGGGTACATAGTGAAGAGCTGATTGAATCCCAATCTTTAAGAAAGTTTCACCCCAGGTGAAATAAGTGGACCAAAATAAATTTTAAAAATGAGATATGGAGCCAGGCAATAGAGGTGCATGCCTTTAATCCCAACACTCAGGAGGTGGTGGTAGGCAAATCTTTGTGAGTTCAAGGTTAGCCTGGTCTTCAGAACAAGTTCCAGGAAAGGTTCCAAAGCTACAGAGAAACTCTGTCTCAAAAAACAAAACAAAACAAAACAAAAAAAGCAACAACAAAAAAAACCCAAACACACAAAAAAATAAAAATGAGATGTGGAAAGAAGTGCATATTCCACTGGTGGGTAGGGATAGACTTCATTTTATGTTAAGAACTTCTCAATGAACATGGAAAATTTGAGATTAAACTCTAATTCAAATCTGTATTTGTGTCCCTTTCCATATGCCCATTAAAAAATTAGTTTATGTGACAATAATTTTCTCTTTATTTTTCCTTTTTCTTTCTTTTTTTTTTGGCCTTTCTTAGTCTTTTTTTTTTTAAAAATATTATTGTCTTAGTTAAGGTTTTTATTACTGGTAAGAGACACCATGACCACAGCAACTCTTATAAGGAAAATACATAATTGAGGGGCCTAGAGGCTCAATCCATTATCATCATGGTTTAGAGCATGGCAGTATGCAGGCAGATGTCATACTGGCTACATCTTGGCTTATAGGGAACAGGAAGTCAACCGACTGTCACACTGAGGGAAACTTGAGCAAAATAGATCTTACAGTCTGCTCCAACAGAGACACACCTCCTCCAACAAGGCCAAACCTCCTAATAATGCTACTCCCTTTGGGGGCAATTTTCTTTCAAACCACAGCTATTTTTTGGTTAAATTTTTTAATATGTTTTAATCATGTTTTTTCCTCCCTCAACTCCTCCCGGATACCCATACCACCTTACCCACCCAACTTCATTTTCACCCTTTCTCTCTGTTTTTCAAAAACAAAATCCACATAAAAATTAAGGCAAAAAAAAAAAAACCCTCCATAAAATCCCATGGAGTTCTATTGTGCTGAGTTTAACTCCTGCGTATGGGGCCTCCCATGGTTTGTGTATAAAATATACACAGTAACACTCCGTTGTAGAAAACTGATTTTCCCTTTACCAATAGATACGAATTGCAAATATCTATCTTCGAATGACTAGTCCCATGGAGTCATCCATTCAATCTGGCTCTTAAAATTTAAATTGCTTCCCTTACTTCCACGCCCCCCCCCCCCCGTGCACCCAAGTTTGCCTTGCAATCTTGACTACTTCCTATATCCAGGAGGATAACTATATGATTTTCTTCAGGTTCACCGTCTTATTTAGCTTTTCTAGGATCACGAATTATAGGCTCAAAGACCTTTAACTATGGCTAGAATCCACTTATGAGTGAGTACATTCCATATTCCTCTTTTTGGGTCTGGGTTACCTCACTCAGTAAAGCGTTTTCTATTTCCATCCATTTGCATGTGAAATTCAAGATGTCATTGTTTTTTACCGCTGAGTAAAACTCTAATGTGTATATGTTCCACACCTTCTTTAACCATTCTTCTATTGAGGGGCACCTAGGTTGTTTCCATGTTCTGGCTATTACAAATAGCGCAGCTATGAACATAGTTGAACAAATGAATGTGGCTGACATGGGGGCTGACTGAGAAGCCATTGACAATGGCACTGGGTCTTGTTTCATCTGCATGTACTGGCTGTTTGGGATCCTAGTCTGTTTAGATGCTCACCTCCCTAGGCCTGGAGGGAGGGGGGAGGAACTTGAACTTCCCACAGGGCAGGAAACCCTGACTGCTCTTTGGACTGGAGAGGGAGGAGGAGAGGGAGTGGGTGGGGGGAGAGGAAGTGGGGAGAGGGAGGAGAGGGAGTGGGGGTAATGGGAGGGTATGGGGAGGAGGGGAGGAAGTGGAAATTTTTATAAACAAACAAATAAAAAAAAAGAAATCAACCTCTTTTAATAAAACATTAGGACTTGTGTGAAAAAAAATTTAAATTGCTTCCTCTTTTACACAGATTAATGAGCCTTGATCTCATTTAGGACCCAGTACTTTAAAATCTCTCACTGTCTGTGCCTTGTCCAGTTGTGGGTCTTTGTGTTAATTTGCATTAACTGCAACAAGAAGATTCTCTGATGTGGGTTGAACAAGACAATTATCTGTAGGTATACCAATATGTCCACAGGAGTTATTTTATTGCTATGTTATTTTAGCATATTAAAAGTGTAAAAGCAAACAATCACATAGAAGAGAAAATACATAATTTGTTTCAGAGGAGCCTGTTTTATGTCACTCAGGATGATCTTTTTCTTGCACCAACCTTTTGTCTATAAATTTAGTAAGTTCAATTTTCATAACAGCTAAATAATATTCCTTTATATAAATATATGACATTTTAATTACCTATACCTCAGTTGAAAGACAGCAGGCCTGTTTCCAATATCTAACTATTGTGATTAGAATAGAAAGAATATGGGTGACTAAGTATCTATTTATGGCATGTAGAGCTCTTTGGTTATACACCTGATAATGGTATAGTTCTGTCTTGAGGTCGATCTATTCCCAACTTCTTGAAGAACCATTATACTGATTTCCATTCCCAAGAGCATTGAAGAAGTGTTCCCCTTTCCCTGTATCCTCACCAATATCAACTGATATTTATTTTATTTGTCTTAACCATTCTGAGTGGGTAAGATAAATCTCAAAGTAGCTCTCATTTACTATTTCCAGATTGATCATGATATTGAACCTGTCCTTAAATGTTTCCCAGCCATTTGTGTTTTGCCTTTTGAAAACTCTCTGCTTCATTCTGTATCCCATAGTTTAATTTAGTTGTTTTCTTGATAAACAGATTTTTTACTTCTTTATGTATTATAAATATTAATGTCTGTAATATGTAATTGTTAAGGATTTTTTTCTTATTATGTGGGAAAATGGGAGTGATCTTATAGTACAGAACCTTTTCATGATATCCTAATTATTAATTGTTCATCTTAATGACAATGTTACTGATAACTTGTTCAGAACGTCCTTTCCTGTGCCATTGAATTCATGTCTATTCTGCATCTACTCTTCTATGAATTTGAACTGTTGATCTTATGCTAAGCTCTGTAATCTATTTGGAGTGCATTTTGTACAAGGTGATAGTATGGATCTATTTTCATTCTTCTACATATAGTTATTCAGTTTGACTACCATCATTTGTTGAAGATTTTGTCTATTCCCTAGTGTGTATTTTTTTGGTTTCTTTATCAAAAATCAGATATCCATAGGTTTGTGGATTTATGTCTTGGCCTTCAATTCCACTGATCTATTTTTTTATGCTGATAGCATGTTATTTTTTCTTGTTGTTGTTGTTAGTTTGTTTCTCTGTGTAGAGATGCTATTTTTCAATTCTGTAGCTCTAGCACTGTTTGAGATTGGGGATTGTGTTACCTTCAGCAGTTCTTTTATTATTCATAATTATCTTAGATATCCTGTGTTTTTGTGTTTTAATGAAGTTGAAGATTATATTTAATTTCTGTGAAGAACTGTGTGGAAATATTGTTAGGGATTACATTTCATCTGTAGACTGCTTTTGGTAGAATAACGTTTCTCACAATATTACTCTCAACCATACATAAATGTCAAAGGTATTTTTATTTTCTGATATCTTTTTCAATTTGTTTCTTCAGTGCTTAAAGATTTATTGCACTTTATTTAATACTTAAAAGATTTATTGTCTTTCACTTTTTTAACTTAAAGTTATCCTAAGATTCTTTTTTTAAGGTTATGATAAAAGGTACTGTTTCCCTGATTTCTCTCCTAGTCTGTTTTTCATTTGGGTATAGGCTGCTGATTGTGTGTGTGTGTGTGTGCATGCATGCATATGTTAATTTTGTGTCTTGCTTCTTTGCTTCTTAGCTGTATGAGTTTCCTAGTGAAATTTTTAGGGTAACTTACATACACTATCAGAACAGTTGCAAATAAATGTACTTTGACATTTTTGTTATTTGAATCCCCTTGATCTCCTTAGGTTTTCTTATTGTTCCAGGTAAGATTTCAAGTCCTATATTAAATATGTATAAAAAGACTGGACATCCTTGTCTTGTTCTTGATTTCAGTGGAAATGCTTTGGGTTTTTCACTATTGAGGATGAGGATTTGATGTAAATTTCTTTTATTATGTTGTTAAAAGTCCCTTGTATTCCTAACCTTTCCAAGACATTTATCGTAGATCTTATATCAAAGGTCTTTTTCTGCACCAAATGAGGTAATCATGTAGTAGATTATGTTTATACACACACACACACACACACACACACACACACATCTTTTGACACAGGATTTCACTGTAGTTTTCAAGCCTATCCTGGAACTAGCTCTTGTAGACCAGGCTGGCCTTGAACTCACAGAGATCTGCCTACCTCAGCTTCCTGGGTGCTGAGATTAAAGACATGCGCCAACACTGCCCGACTGATTTATATATTTGTGAATCATCTAGAATCTTTGAGATGAAGCCAGCTTGTTATGGATGGATAGTTAATCTTTGTTATGTGTTCTTGAATTCAGTCTGCAAGCATTTTCTTGAGAAGTTTCACATTTAGCTTCATAATAGATATTGTAGTATTTCAGGCTAGAGAGACTAACTATACACAAACTGAATAAATGATCCTTGAACAATTTGTCAAATCGTGGTTGGGACACAAAACAATTATCAATAGATACAGGAAAATTGAAATAGTGTCTTGCATCTTCTGTAACTATCATGGCTTAAGGATACTGACAAGAGTAACAGCAGAACATATACAATCTTAGGGAAACTAGACAAATCCATACTGAATGAAATTGGGTAAATCAAGAAAGAAACACATTTCAGAATTGAATGAAAATAAAAACACAACATACCTAAATCTCTGAATACAGTGAAGACAGTTCTAGGAGGCAATTTCACAGCACTAAGTGCCTACATTATATAGTAGGAGAGATCTCAGAATTGTAACTTAACAACAGACCTGAAAACTATACAAGGACAATGATAAAGAATATCCAAAATATTATAGGGGAGAAAATAATTGAATTCAGGGCTGAAATCAATGAAGTAGAAGCAACAGTAACAAATATAAATTCTGTGAATGAAGAGATGATTCTTTGAGAAAATCATGAAGACTGACATAGCCAAATCAACCAAAGATGAAAGATGAGATGATCAAAATTAAAATAAGAGAGAAAAAGGCAGACATTACATTAGACACAAAGATAATTCAGGGAATCATAAAACTTAAAAATCTGTATTCCAGGACTGGGGAGATGTTTCATTGTTTAGAAGCATGTACTGCTCTTGCAGAGGGCTCAAGTTCTTTTCCTAACACCCACATCCTAACAAGGCAGCTCACATTTCCTTGTTAACTCCTGCTCCAGGGTATCCTACATTGCTTCTTGACTTCTGTAGATGTTCACACACATGACCACATAACATGCAAACAAAATAATAAAATATAAGTATCATTAAATTAAAAAAAAATCTTTATTCCATCCAATTGGAAAACCTAAAAGAAATGGATGAACATATTCATATATACAAACTACCAAAGTTAAAGCACAATGAATTAAACAATTTAAAGAAGTTTAGTATCCTTAGTGAAATAGTAACAGTAATTACAATCTCCCAATCACGAAGAGTCCAGGATCAGGTGGATTCTGTATAGAATTCTACCAAATCTTAAAAAGAAATAAAACTAACAGCAATACTCCTTAAATTATTCCACAAAATAGAAACTGAGGGAACATTTCATAATTCTTCTTACCACTGTTAACCTGATAACAAAAATACACAAGGAATAAACAAAAATAGATAAAAATTTAGTGTCATGGTTTTTGAATTTACATAATAATTAGTGAAGGGTTCTGAAACAGTAATTATCATTTACTTTTCTTCTTCATCTAAAGAGTTATTTAGACAGTAAGAAATGATAAAGCAAATTGGTTGCTTTCACCACATTGAGCAAATCTGTGAATTTATAGTTCTCTGATAAACACTTCTAAAAATAAAACTGAAAGTAAACATCAATTTAATTCATGAAATAACTGAAGTAGTAGTCTGGTTGCTAGAGACCATGACATACATATATATGTGTGTTTGTGTATCTATGTGTGTGAAAAACATGTGTATGTAGGCGCAAATTTTATATGTGAGCATCCATTTATATATGTATAATGTTATATGCATGCATATACCTATATAAAGGGCATGCACATAACATATATGAATGCACATACACATACATTCTTACAGTTTTGCTAGCATACATATAGGTCTAAGTTCAATCACACAGGAAAAAGAACTGAGCTTTCTCTAATCCAGAGATTCAGTTGTACCTGCAGGCTGCAGACAGTGAATCCATATATACATGTGTGAACTGACTTATTTGAAATTTTCTCATTGAAAGTCAAGTGCATTTCCTTCTATTTAGCTTTGGATTTAGCCAAAACTTACAGAATTTCCTGTGGTATTTCTATTTCAGGAGTTGATTTCCAGATGAAAACTTTAATTGTAGATGGTGAACGAACAGTTCTTCAGCTCTGGGATACAGCTGGGCAAGAGAGGCAAGTGCTTTCTTTGGATTAAAGAATACAAATACAAGACTCATAGGGTTGAGTATACTATTTATATTTATAATATATGACTGTGCTTTAAGATATTGCATTTGTAATTGTAACATTCATGAAATACCAATAAAGATCATTTTTCCACCATTTCCTCCCATATGTTTGTATCATTTGTATGAGAAGAGGGTCTCTGAGCCCCTTTTGAACTGATGTTTGGTTGTGGCAGCATGCTGTTCTGTGGAGAGGAGGCAACATTGCTGAATGCAGTGTCACTGTTAGGGGTTCTTAGTTTTGAAGCAATGCATGATGGGCAAAGAGACCCTATCGACTATTCTTGTTTGAAGGGCAACAGCAAGCGATAAGTGACAGATACACTTCTGGTGATTCCATATCTTCGATTTCTTGACAATGACCAGAAGTATGAAGCATAAATTCTAATTTTATCTAACTCTCTGCGGGTCAAATTTTACTCATTTGTGCAATGAGTATGTTTGAGGGCCTGCATCTCTACTATTCTTTGTGCAAAGATTCAGTGATGACCATGGAGACACAATATGCCCATGGTCACTGCAAATCTTACCTCACTGCTTTCCCCTTTTTGGCCTCTTGGAGATTAGGCCGCAGGCAAAAAAACATAATACATCCAGGTTCCTCTGTACCTGCTCCTTATTATATTGTCTCCTTTCACTTAAAGAACAAAACAGACATAAAAATCTACGCCTGCCTTTTTTCAGAACATAGTTCCTGAGCAGACTTGCAGTCTCACCATTTGTGACTTTGCATGTATGTATATGTAAAAATTCACGTGTGCATGTGGAGGGCATACATCAATATTGAATATCTTTTCTGTCCCTCATTACCTTGTTTTTGAGACAGGTATTTGGTTTCCCTTCTGTCCATTTGCTGGTTCCTGGGGTTGAACTGTTTGTTTTATTCTACTTTCACTATTGTTGAGGCTAAAGTTTATGATTAGGTAACATTCTTGGAATTACCTGCTGGAGGAAAGAATGGGCTTTCTCAGTGATTACTAGGCCTCTGCTAAAGAAGTTTATCACTAGTATTTATTGTTAAGGCTTTTATTTGTTGGAATTGGTTATAGAAAGTAAGAACTAAGTGGCATAATAGAGATGAAGTACAAGGCAAGGACCAGATGACAGGTTGCTGATGAGCTTTTGCTTTATCTTTACCAGGTTCAGAAGTATTGCCAAGTCTTATTTCAGAAAAGCAGACGGCGTCTTATTGCTCTATGATGTTACTTGTGAAAAAAGCTTTCTTAATGTACGAGAATGGGTGGATATGGTTGAGGTAAGGATTATATGGAAGAAATAGAAAATTATACAGGGGAGTCATGGACTGTCTTAAGAAATACCATTGCTTTTTGTTTGCTTTTGTTGGAGTAAACAGGATTAGGATCAACTGGTCTGTGCCGTCAGGAAGACTGACATTTTCCAGTGACAACTGACAGACTTGTCTCTTCCCAGGATCATTTCTCAAATGGAAGAAACTTCTGCAAGTAGATTCTGGGAACATCTTTATTCTTCAATATAATATAGGAACCCTGTGTAATGGAGTGGAAACACAGGTAGCCAGAAAGCAACTTTTTACAAACATGAAAGTCGTTGTACTGGATGTACAGTGTGGCAGAAATTTTAGAAAAAGCTGAGACACCACTGAGAAGGTAGTAGAACTAAGATCCAAAGTTAAGCTTATTCTAGTTGTGATGTGGGAGCATTTATATATACCAAGATGCCATGGAACTATGAATTGGCATTTTAACATGTAGCATGCGTGAAATCTATATCAAAGTGACTGTCTCCACTTAAGGACCTTTCATATCATTTGGTTTTACAGTCAAAATTGGTAAAAGTACTAGTTTACTGCCAGGTGTTACTAACAAGCATAAAAATAATAGGGTACTCTCTAGAAATTGTGAACTACAGGTAAATACAACTTCCCAAGTAAATAATATCTTTTGTTTTTTAAACATACTAAGATACAGACATGGCTGAAATCCAGTGTTTTCTGATCTCAGGTGTGCCTGTGGATTAATGTTTGCTTCCTGACTACAGAATTTATGGAAAAGATACTGTGTGATTGGAATAATTCTTTGATGATGAAATATAAATTTGCCTTGTTTCACCAAAACACCATATCTTAAATTTACTATAAATGCAATTAAAATTATTTAAAATTATTTACATTTCTGTAAAATTTTACTTGATAAAATTATCCATATATTGCATTTATTTCTCTAACATCTGAAAAAATAAGAAAGAAACAAGCAATTTTTTACATATTGTGAGAGCACTGAGGCATAGAAAATATATGGCATTTGTTTGAGTTCATAATACTAGTGTGTAGGAATGGAACGGAGGCATAACCTTTTGATCAATATTGGTCATTACTTTGGCAAAGTACAAGAGTTAGCTACAAATAAATAGCAGCTGCCTTGAAACTAAAGAAACCCAAAAGAGCTTGTCTCTTCAAGAGAGCCTTCTACTGTGTAATCGATCTCAGTGGGCTATACACTGAGTCCTGTGCCAAACATCTTATCATTAATATTTGGGGCTTAGTCCTCCATTTTCTTGCTTGTATATGTTGAAGAAAATGCTCAGAAAATGGCAATTCAAAAGGCAAGGTCAATCTAAGAGGAAAATGTCCTTACATTAAGTGAGGCACTGCAGATTCATATTACAAGTGAGCTCTTCAGCCACCCTTGCCACTTTCCCTTGAGATCAGAAAAGGAAGAAAATTGTATTCAAGATGAATTCTTGGAGTTCTTACATTAGAGAAGGTAGGTGTCACTTTGCATTTCAATTTCACTATAGAAAAAGAATGACCAGAAAGAGACTTTCCCATGTCTTTTTCTAACATGAGGAACTAAAATTATACAGTCCCTACTAATGGACTTAAAAAGAGTGACACCATTGCTAATTGCAGACATGGAGAAGACAGCAGGCTAAAGGAAATTGTATTACCAGAAGGGCCAGTTATTTCAGAAGAGTAAAGTAGATGGAGCCCAGGCCGGATGAGGCAGTAGGACCAAAGGGCCATCTCAGAGAAAGTAATGTTTAAGTCTGTACTGGAAGAGATGCTACACTCTATTTATAAGACTTTAGGAAATTATTTAGACACTCAGCTCCTTGGCTAGTGTGAGTAATTGCTTTTTTGTATTCATCATGTATCCTGAAGAGATCTCCAAAGAACATAGTTTATGAGCATCTGAATATGTGGTAAAGCAAGCATGGAGGAGGGCCATGTGCTCCGTGCTTCCCTTTAAGTGCACATTATTCTCCACATTAAATGCACTTTTATGCCTCAAATCAAAGACAAGTGTCAAATCTAGTCTTTGTCCTTATGTCTTGATCCTATATGAGGAACATACCAAAGTGGATGAGCATGCCATTTAAGCACTTCAAAGTTTAATTTCCAAGTGTTTGGTGTGGGATGGCTGCTTATCCTATCTAGAGACGAGAAACCTATGTTTCTGTTTTGTCAGGATTATCACATCTTTTATTTACATCACAGTCTTACAAGGTGAAATATACCCTTACCACCAGACATGGACTGCTTGCCATACTAGGTGTGAGATTCTGTGGAAGTCTGTGCACATTGTTTGGGTGGTTTTGAAATCTATGATATAAGATTGATATTTAGACCTTGACTATTTTCTTTTGTTGTAAACTAGAGTAGTGAGTGTAAGCTTTTCACCCAACTTTTGTACTAGGATAGATGAAGAATGATTTATACTTTGCACCTGGGATAAAACAGTTGATGTAGAATGAACAATGTTTTAAGGAGAAAGTGTTACCTAGCATCCTGTGGATATTCCAACTGAATAGAATTCTGTGGTCAAGGTCACTAGATTCTGTCATGATTGTAGTGCACTATGCACTCTGTGTATAACTAGTCTCATACCCTTTACTTTTTTATTATCAAAGAGTGGAACATTACCTAAGTGGGGCAGTGCAGTCACTTTGGGTTTCAGCTTTCAGTTTTACATATTCTTATTTCATTTCTCTGAATTTCAGTGTTCTCACTGGCAAAAGAGGAAGAAGCGTGAGTGTGCTTCAAAGCATGTTGAGTTTCAAAAACTTTATCTTAAATATAAGCAATTTAATTATTGCAATTAGTTGACAGAGACAATGAAAATAGTTTTGTATTCTGTCCTACAACTGTAAATGATTATGAATACTAAATTGGCACCTTTAGAAAACTGGACAATGACAGCTATTAGTACCATGGTCACAGCTCTATATTTGATGTATGTCCACTTCTTTTCCTTCTTCATAGGATGGAGCCCAAAGAAGTGTTCCTATCATGTTAGTAGGAAACAAGGCTGATCTTCGTGATTCTGCTAGTGCAGAGAAACAAAAATGTATCTCAGCGTACCTTGGAGAAAAACTGGCCATGGTAAGAGTATGCGGTGGCATCCAAAATGAGACAATATCATGATAGGTCATTGTTCTCAGAATTGGAGGCAGTTGTTACCCTGTGTGGTTCACTGTGCTGAGATGGTCCTTATCATGTGCTGTACCTCATCTTATATTGTACACTGTGCTGGAGACAGTCATCCTGCCTGTGCAGTTTATTGTTTTGGACACAACCCTTACTCCTGTATTCTTTACTGTGCTGTACACAATCTTCACCTCTTTGTCTTACACTTTTTTAGATAATTATCACCTTTAATAGTACACTGTATTACACACAGTCCTCATGTTGTTGACTGTTTTAGGGACAGTTCATATCTGTTGACTTCACTGAGTTGAGAGAGTCATTCTTTCCCCTAGTTCCTTTTGTTTGAGAAAGTAATTTCCCGCTGTGGAGTTCATTGTGTTGGGGATGCTTTTAATCCTGTGTTGTTACCAATTTTAGACACAGATCTTATCACTATGTAGTTCACTATATTGGAGACATTTCTCACCCTATATATTGCACCTGTTGGAAACAGTCCTCACGCATGCTGTGTAGTTCACCATGCTAGACACAATTCACATTTCTGTGTAGGTAACTGTGATGTAGACCTTCTTCAACTTGTGTTGTTCTGTGTTGAAGGCAATCTTCACCCCTATTTATTTCGGTGTGTTGAATGCAGTCCTCATCCTGTATAGAGGACCGTGTTATAAACTATACTCACCCTGTGTTGAACTAGTCCTTACTTTTTATAACTGGCTGTGTTAGATATGGCCCTCATCCTATGTACTAATATACAGTAGTGGAAGACTGTCCAACACATTGTGTTGGACCCAATGTCTTATCCTTTTTCTTACACTTTGTTAGAGATGGTTTTCACCTTGAGTAGTTTCCTGTGTTTCACATAGTCTTTATATTGTGTGGTTGGCTGTTTCAGGGACAATTCATACCTGTCTATTTCTTACCTTGCCCCTTGTAGTTTGCTATGGTGTATTCCTCACCACTGTATAATACACTGTGTAAAAGACATCTGAGCACGTGGTTGATAGTGCTGGACACTGTCTTCATCCTGTGTAGTTGACTGTTTCTAGGACAGTCTTCTTTGTATTGGAGACAGTCCTCATGCCTGCATAGTTTACTGAATTGTAAGTCATAACTCCTATGTCTGGCTGTGTTGGGAAGAGTCTTCACCATGTGTGGTTTGGCCTCTGTTGGAAACAATCTTCACTCACATGCAGTTTATTCTTCAGGAGGCAGGGTCATTCTTTTTCTTTTGTATCATTCACTTTGTTAGCACAGTAGTTACACCTTTTTTCTAACTTAGGAACAGTGCACTTCTTGTTGGAGACAATCTTTTGCCTGTATACTTTGCTCTCAGGAGCACAGCCTTTCGTCTACACAACTTACTCGTTTTCATCTCCAATACAATACTTATCTTTTTCATTCAAATGCCAGGAGTTTTTCACTTAACCTCTTTCATACCTAGAATCTAGACCTGGCATCTCTTAGCACCAATCTGAGTTCTCAAGTTGCTCCCTCAAACATCTTTTGACTTACTCTTGAAATCCTCAAGATTTACTTTACTTCTTCCTGTCATTTCTGTCATAAATAATCATCAAGTGTACTGATTCTACTACACATGTGTATTTGTGAATTGTATAGATTTCTTTTTGTCAGTTTGCTTATGTAAACCTCGTGGAATCTTTATTCTCTCAGTGCTACCTAGTAGCCATCAAATTCTTCGCTTAAACGATATGGTAATAGTTAATCCTCACCCAAGGCTTATGCATCTGTAATGGTCTTTTATTAAAAGAATCTGTCTCCACCTTATTTTACAATGACATACAAGCATAACTGTTAGATTTTTGGTAAGTACAAACAAACAAACAAACAACGAAAAAGAAAAACAAACAAACAAAAAACTCTGAGGTATTATTACAGGAAGACCTGATGGATACTTTTCAGAATTAGAAACAACTTAATGATTACCAAAGCATCCAAAACAGAAATAGAATTTGGAGTGAGACAGGCAATCTAGTTCTTAGGAAGAACAAGCCTAGACATCCTGAGATTAGTTGGAATTTAGGTAACCGGGGAAATATAGAGAAGAGTCAGGTATCTGGGGATTTATGGGGTAAAGATGTAATGTAAGGTAAAACTGGAAGATTACCTCAACTTGACATTAAGCAGGTTATGGTTGGCTGTGAAAAAGCATTTGAACATTATCTCAGAAAGGATGAGAGTCATTTAAAGGTTAGAAATAGAGGAGCAATACAAGGAACTATGCAAGGGCAACCAGTGGAGTTGTCTATGAACTAGAACATTTTACTTCTGCAATACAGGAGCTCTGTGTGCTGATGGGAGAAGCTGAGAGTAAGATGGAGGAAGCATTAGCCATTGGACCAGGCAAACATGTTCTTTTCCCTTCATGGAGACAGGGTCTTACTATCTAGTCTAGGCTATCTAGTACTTACAACTGACCTGATACTGCAAACATCCTTTTGATAGAGGTATAATTCCTAGCTAGCTACCTTACGCTGTCATTTTTATCTGCCTCAAATTCTTTGAAGAGAATATGCAGAATTATGTACTTGATTATTGAAAGGCAATTTTGAATTTTTAAAAAATATAATATAAAAGACTTCTGATTAAGAACTATTTCTAGTATTACTGTTTAGACTGGTTTGTTTTGTTTGCTTGTTTGGCGCAAGGTCTCATGTAACAGGCTGGATTTGAAAGTTTGCTTACACCTGTTTCGTGCTGATATTCCAGGAACACTCCACTACACCGGGACAATCAAATCTATTTTGTTGTTGTTGTTGTTGTTTATAAGTCCTGAGACTCTGATTTTACTTTTCGTAGTTATTACTCAGCATTCTCTATATACATATACATGTATAGTTGTTTTACTAGGCAGTGTTTCTCTTTGTAGTACTGACTGCCCTAGAATTCATTCAGAATACCAAGCTGCCCTCAAACTTTGAGATCAGTCTGCTTCTGACTCCAAAGTGATGGGATTAAAGGTGTGTGCTATCATACTTGGCTAGGAAGAAATGTTTTTAATTCAATAATTTAAATTTCAGGAAATCTAATCAAAGCCTTCATTGAACTGTGTATACTTCCTTTCTACAGACGTATGGGGCATTATTCTGTGAAACAAGTGCCAAAGACGGATCCAATGTCGTTGAAGCTGTTCTACATCTTGCTCGGTAAAGTTAGCCTTGTGTTTAGAAAAATCAGATTTTTCACTTACCTAATGGATATGATGAATTTCTTCATTATAGCTTTCAGTTAAAATATCTGCTGTAGAACATAGTTCTGTCTTTCATGGTAAGAAAAACACTACATGTATTTATTATAAAATCTAGTAATTCATGTTTATTGTCAACATTGACTAGATATTTTTACTACTTAACAAGAGATGTAGCTGCAGTATTTTTGAAGAATTTGTAAAATATCACCAGGAATGATAATAATTGACTTATAGAATCATCTCCTGAAACCAAAACTTAAACACAACCAGCTGTTATTAGTATATCTCTTATAAAATTTCGCTAATCAAATGGGATATATAGAACAAAAAAGGAAATTGCATATCATAACAGTTGGAATCACTGTCCGAATTTCTCAGTTTATAATTACTAAAGGAAAGCAGTGTTGTGGAAAATAATTAACATTTTGCATGTGGATTATAACAAAACTTATCATTAGAAGACTTGCATAAAAATGTGCATGGCAGTTCTTCAAGTATTGCGAGACATAACAGTACTCTCTCCCTGATTTATATTTTCTGTTTGGTGTGTTTTTTAGTTAGGTTTTTGTCAACTTGGCACAAGCTATTGCCATTTGTAAAGGAGAAGTCTCAACTTAGACAGTATTCCCACCATATTGGTCTATGGGAAAATGTCTAGGGCATTTTCTTTATTAACGATTGATTTGATACCACTCTGCAACTACCACCCCTAGATATTTGGTCCTCTGGCTGTGTGGTACTGGATTATATAAGGAAACAAGCTGAGCAAGGCATGAGGGGAAAACCATTAAGCAACATTTCTTCATGGTATCTGCTTCAGTTCCTGCCTCCAGGTCACTCTCCTGTCTTCTGTGGTCTGTGGTGTGGAACTGGAAGCTCAAGAAAAGTCATTCCTCCCCAGGTTCCTTCTGACCATGCTGATTTGTCACAGTAATAGTAGTCCTAACTAAGATAGAAATTTCTACCAAGAAGTTAATCTTGACACCACCTTTACATGGGCTCTGGGGATCAAACTTAAGTTCTCAGGCTGGTATGGAAGGTGCTGTACTCCTGAGTTATCTCACTAGTTCTCAAGTCCATTCTTAAATGGAGGTTTATTTAACTCAAGTCATCCACATATCTCTGCTTCATTGTAGACATCTCTAATCTGTACAATGAGAAAGAGGACTGAATATTTAATATTTTTAGAGAATTTTATACTTGAATACTGTTTTTATCTTATTTCTACGATTCCTTCTCCCTGCTCCCACTCCTTCATTGTCCTCCTGACTCCCTCTCAAATTCATGTCTTTAGTTTTTCTACACACACACACACACACACATACATACATACACACACACACACACACATCACTACTGAGCCCTTTTAATGTTGATTATATGTAGATATATTTGGGATCAATGACTTGGGGTTGGATAACCTATCATGGAGCTTGTCCCACCTCTAATGAAATGCTATAGGCAATTGTGGCTTCTGAAAGAGGGATCTCTCTGTTCTTTTAAGAGGCTGTCTTAATTTTCTATTGCTTTGAGAAAGCACCATGATAAAGGCAACTTGTCGAAGGAAGACTTTTAGGGAGCTTATGGTTACTGAGGCTTAAGAATTCATTACCATCATCACAGCAGGGATGGTTGGCAGTAGAAAGGCATAGTGACTGGAGAAAGAAACAGAGCTGAGGGTTGTCATGTCAAATCTAAACAGAAATCAGAGAGCAAACATGAATAGCACCCAGGTTTTGAAGCCTCAAAGTCTTCAGTAAGGTCACACCTCTTAAACCTACCTAAGCAGCACTACCATCTGAAGAACAAGTATTCACGTGCTTGAGAATGTGGGCGACATTTAATTTAAACAACCACGATTCAATCAATTCCAATGCCGGCATCTTCTAGAAGCACCGTGGTCCCTATAAGACACTACCCAGGTGTACCCAGGTGGTTTAAGTAGAAACTGGTGACCCTGAAATTATTTATCTAGATATCTGTTGCGCCCTCTGAGTTTTGTAGCTAACGGCCTGTAATTTGAAATAGATGAGACATTTGTTTAATGGTGGAATTATCAAGGCTTTGTATTTGCAAACTGTGCTAATTTTCTTTTCCTGTAATTAATCTTCACAGGTAAGTAAGCACATATCTCACTTTTGTTGTAATCCCTTTCTCCCTTCTCACAGAGAAGTGAAGAAAAGGACAGAGGATGATGACAGCAAATCCATTACGAGTCTAGCTGGATCCACTTCCAGAAAGTCACTGCAGATGAAGAACTGTTGCAATGGCTAAATCGCAGCTATCTTCAGTTCATAAAGTCCTTGATTCCAAAATACTGATCATGGGACCCTGTTTCCCAATGGAGTGGTGCGTCATACAACACCGGCCAATGAAGAATTTCAACCTGACAAATTGAGCCATTCTTGTCTGTTATCAGGAACCTCAGGCTTTCTTTGTTCTATCTCAGTGAGCTCCTTGGGTTGCCTGACACCTATAGATCACTAAGAGAAAATGTGTTAATGATTTTAATATAATATGGTAAAATAAAATTACATTCTCAGATCAAAACTATTGAGAACCTACTGATAAAATTTCTTCATAAGAAAATTGACTTTGTAGTTAACCTGTGACAGTGTTTGGTTAAAAATTTGGACACAAGAGCTTAATACTTTGTTTTATGGAATTCAGTGTTTAATACAAAGAACAAGGAAACTGGCAGGCTATTGTATATTATTGCTTTAAACCATGGTTGCTATAAGATAGCATGAATATTTTCATTTGGCCAATCAGTTTTGCTGTTACCTAGTCTTATAATACTGGGCATGTCCAGGCCACATTAGACGTCTTCCACTCTGTAAAATAAGGAAGTTAGTCACCAGTGTATCTTAGTCACCAGTGTATCTTGGATTCTCTAGTATTTTAAGAAGCGGGAAGCACACATGGTTCACAGTTACTAATGACACTGTGAAGCATACATTTTGATATAGAGGTATTGATTTTTCAAATTTCTGAAGTAAGAAAGAATTTATTTGAGAAATTGGAAATATTTTAGACATCAATGTAAATAAAAATACTGGATTTTTTTGGTGAAAAAAGAAAAAAATGTTTAAAAATGTATGTAATGAAAATGCAATTTCAAGAGTACTTGTGAAGTATAAGCCTTAAATTGTATGTGAAAATTTTAGTGAAGATATTTATAACACATCCTACCTAAAGAAAAATGCTACAAAAATGTATTTTACCTACTGACTGCTAGATGCTGAGGGTAGTTGGCACTAATGGCCAATGGGCATGTGCCTTCTTAGGAGGATGGCCACAGTCTTCTGAAATTAGGTAGTAGTAGTGGCATAAATTGGAATATGCTAAGGAAATTACCAAACTTTGTATTTGGAAAGGATAAGTTTTATGAATGTAAATGTGTTTTATAGACAAATACAGTGGTACCTAAAGTATCAACATTTTACCAAATGAATATATTGTTGCTATTTTACATTGACCTGTGATCTAGAACTTTATCTGTAGCATAATGACATTTCCTCAGCCCCTATCTTCAAGCATTTCCTTTCTTTTTAATGAACAATGGGAGATTGTTATTAGGCATGACTTTGGAAAGTACCATATTGAAAAGAGAATTACATTTAAATGTTAGTCTGTCCTTTGAATAATGTGACTTGTGACTGTTTATCACCCAGGACATGGTTAGTCTTGCTTTCGTCTGGAACTTGGAGTACCTCCAACTCCTTCTGACCCAAATATCTTTGGTCAGATACCCAGAATGGGCAAGGTAAAATAGCATTACCAGTAGTCAGAACCAGTTAAATAATTCTTAACGAGAGATATTTTGGTTCATACAGGACTAGGCTTTGAATAGGTTACCCAGAATATAAATAATACTGGTTACTTATGTGAATTGCATTATGTATGTTCAAACATTCCTTTTCGATGAACTTAAAAAAATCACTGGGTTAGCAATGTGTCTCAGGAAGTAAAAGTACTTGTTGCCCAAGCTTGCCAACCCAAAATTTGTGCCTGAACTCACAATGGAAGGGGAGAATGAATTTCTGAAATTGTTTTCTGATGTTTACAAATGTGTGCCATCATAGTGGCCAAATGATACATGTGCACACATAGAGCAATAAATAATCATTTTTAAATAACATTCCATTTTGGCAAACACTTTTGTGCTTTTGATTTTTGTTATCGAACTTTAAATACTTTCAACTTCGTTTCTTTTTCCTAATGGGGAATTGATTAGGTACCATTATACACAAAAGCCACATCTTTTGAATGTTCAGTAACTACATACAAATGGCTATTCTATGTTTCATGGTTTGGAACCCCAGTTAACAGGTTACATTTCTGACAAAAAAAAATAATATTTGGTGAGCAATTGATACCAATGTCAGGTGAGAATAGTGATTATTTTTGTAACATCATTATTGTTATTTTGTAACATAGTTGTTTCCCTTACAGAGTGAGGTTCCTAGACAAGGGTGAATCTTATGTATTAATAGATGGTACATGTGTGCCACTGGCGGAACACACTCTGGTCGCATGCATGTTACCATGTTCTCTTTATTCTCATGTTGTTTACCTCATATGTTGCTTTTTTTCTTCCATATTTTGCAAAAAGAGAGAGAGAGAGATTGTTAATGCAGAAGTTCTGTGTGGGGTTTTGCCTGTAGTTGTGGATTCAGAACAGCTATGTTGACTAGAAAGTTGTCTAGGTAACTTGAACAAGTCAACATCTTCAGTGTTCCGAATTTAAAATATCCAAAGTAGAGGTTTCTATCTCTGCTTAACAAACTTGTTTAAGGAAAGGAAATTCAGAACTCTTTTTAGGTGACTTTCTGGGAGACTGTATTTTGATTTCTCGAAAGTCTTCCCAAGTTTAAAGTATATTTAAGGACAAAATAATGCTTTCAATTTAAGCTTACTTTAATATATTCACACATTTTTTCAAGTGTCTTATTTTGCATCCATTTTTCCTTAGACAACTTTTAAAATCACAATGATGCTATATCCACGTTTAAATGCACTTTATCATACTAGATAATATTTTAATCTTATTATGGAAAATAATGTTGGAAAAGTAGGTATATTTTCACTGTTACCTTCTAGGCCTATTCATTTTCAGAATTTATTTTTCTACTTGCTGTTCTATTCAATATTGTATAATATTTGATTATTTAATACTAAGTGTAATTTGAATAAATACAGACTGTCCTCCCTCTTCTGAAGATAAAGTTGAGGTTAAGGATTTATTTTCATATTTATACAGGGATTAGCCTCAGAATATTAGTTTTTTAGGTTTTTGCTGTTTATTCATGTAAGAAATAATGTATGTATATGGCAGGTAAGCAACTGAGAAATGAGTCACTGTTATATGATTTTAATGTATATGGTTTACATTTTTTCATAGTTTGAGTTGTGCTTCATTTAAACTGTTTATATCTTTTCAAACCATCAATAATGATACCACAAAGTATAATTGCATACCTATGCAAATATCTAAGGAGTTATAAAAGTCATGCCGTGTAAATGCAATAAAGTGTACTTATTTTGGTCCTTGGACAGTTTCCTGAGCTTTTTGTGGGTATTCTAAAGAGGCTGATTCCACAGTGTCTGTAGGAGACAGTCCTTCTCTTTTGAACAATACCATTCCTACAGTGGAAGAAACAAAATGAATAAGTATGTAGCAGTTGGTAGCTCAGTAGAGGGCAACAGGGAGGTCACTGAGGACACAAGAAGACTAGCTGGACTTTGGGAATAGTGTTATTGGATGAGATATATCTATTCTCTCTTTTTTTAAAAAACATAAGTTAGAAAATTTCATAGATTTACACTGTATTTGCAGTTCTAGTCCACATCTCTTCCCTCTGCTCCATCCCACCATGTCCTCTACACTTCGTGGCCACTTTCATGGATTCTTTTACTTTATTTTTACACACATACACTCCTGCTGAGTTTGTGCAGTGTTTCTTGTCTGTATACACATTTTTAGGGGTGAACAATGCTTAAGACGACGGAATCTCCCAATTCCAGGAGTTATTGTTTATAAATTTTAATCTGTGGGTGGGGCCTTGTCATTCTACTATTACTACACAGGAACAATTGTATCTGACAAATGAAGAATACACTGATAAGGTTGTGAAACAAGTCCCAAAGCTGAAGTAGAGAGGTAGCATGTTATCACACAAGAGAATTGCAGTTAGAGACAGTCAGCTTTTCAAAAGACAATACTTCTCATCGGTTGTGCCACATGAGTTTCCTCCAACAGATGTGTGTATTTCTTCTAAATATCAGCTCTAATCTACTGCATCATTGTGTGGACTCCATCAATATTTACGTTTTGTGTCCTGCTTTTCATCTATGTAACTAAGCTTGGATGTGGGATATAGTGCACATGGGCCACATTCTGATTGACTGTGCAAACTAGGCTGGTGTACCAGATATGTGACTAAGACCAAGCCTGGGATTTGGAAAAAATGCAGGCAGGTTAGCTCCACAGTGTTCACTGGGCTAGGACAGTGCACATTTGTATAACTTTGGTTAAACTTAGAGTTTACAAATGTCACATGGAAGCTAGGGTTGGGTGAACTTAATCGTCTCTACTAGAATACAGAACAAATGGGAAAGACCATGGAGGTTAAGAATGAGGCAAGAGAAATTCATAAAACCAGGATAGTATATAGTGTGTATAAGTCAAGCTATGTCGAAGGACTGGCGAGGGTTCAGGAGGGCTAACATCCAAGTGTACCGGGATTTTTCTTTTGGGCCACATGACACAGAGATTTTGTGCTACTTATAAATGCTCAGCCTCCCTTAGGCTTCTTTCTGGCTAGCTCTTTTAACTTAAATTAGGCTGTTTCTCTTTATTTACCTTTGCCTCTGGGATTTTTATTTTTTCTTTCCTTCTGTCTATTTTACTTTTAGTTTCTCATGTCTATCTGTCTGACAGCTGGCTGGCCATGGGCATCTCTCTCTCTCTCCCTCATTCTCTTTTCTTATTTTATTCAATTCTCTCATTCTTCTTCAGTTCAGATATGTCCTTCTATTTACTCTCTCTGCCTTCTAACCCCACCTATCCCTCTCCTGTCTAGTTATTGGCTATTCAACTTTTTATTAGATCAACCAGAGGCCTTAGGCAGCCAAGGTGAAATAAATGTAACACATCCTTACATCATTTAAAAAAGTGCAGCAGAAACAAATGTAACATACCTTTACATGCTTAAAATAGTATTCCGCAGCATGAGCTATGTAGCACATCTTTACGTAGTTAAGTATTCTACAACATTCAGGAAATGCACACGACTGGACTGAAGTCCAGAGTGTGTTATTTAGACTTGATTTTGAAGTTATTTTTTTGTGTGAATAGGCTAGGTCTACATAGATTCACCAGAACGGCACATATAGCCAGCTGTCTGGTTTGTTGAGCCAAGATAAAAAGTGTGAAGCAGCTTAATTTCTGTGACAGATCTGGCTGATTACTGAGGACAATGATTAACTCTCTGCACAGATTGTTAACCTCAGTTTTCTGATCATTATTCAGACAAACCACAAGAAAAAATCTTCTTATTCCCAGAGGTACAAAAAACAAGCTACCTTCACAGCACCAAGAAAAAGTTGCAGGTTTCCCCTTTTATGACCAAAAGTTACATGCAGGACAGAAAAATATATTGTGGTGAAAATTTGCTTGTGATATAACAAATAAAGCTTGCCTGAAGATCAGAGTACAGAGGTAGCTAGCTATTAGTTGACCATAGAATTTAAGCAGTGGTGGCAGAAACTTTTAATCCCAGAACTTGGGGTGCAGAGCAAATTGATCTCTGTGAGTTCAAGGCCACCCTTCGCTATGTGAGATTGATGCAATCTAAAAGAGAAAAAGAGCCATGGAGTGATGTCTTACACCTTTAATCCCAGTGCTTGGGCATCACATGCCTTTAATCTCAGCACTAGGGAGGTGGAGACAGGAAATGATATGGCTAGGTGGAGAGAGGAATATAGGGCAGAAGGAGACATGATCCTTATGCATTCAGTCTGATGACTTGTAGAGATAAGATACCCCATTCAGTCTGAGGATTTTATAGAGGTAAGAACTAGTGTCTGGCTGTTCTGTTTCTCTAAGGTTTCAGTTTTCACCCCCTAATATCTGAATAGGGATTTTATTATTAAGACTTATCAGAATTCACACTGTAGTATATTTTAAGATTTAAAATGTTTTTAATATCAGTGTGCCCTGGAGAGTGCTGTATAAGCTCATCTTTGCTTATGTACCATTTTGCTCTGCAACTTGCTGCTAGGAGCCTCTAAACCTTGCCATTGGCTCAGCACTGCACTCTCCCTGAGGACACACTGCTTTTTGTAACCAGGCAGTCACCAGTCTGAGAAAGTCAGGCTTTTACAACCACTAACTATAAAATGTTGAAAATGTTTATACATGTAGGAAGTATCAAATGTAGGACACAATTTTCTTATTTCTCTTACAGTCCTTAGTAGTTTAGCTCTATAAGGCTACCTCTATAAATAAGACAGCAAAAAGACTTCTTTTGCAGCTTCATGTTGCAGTGCACCTATTAGGGAGTTGACTGAGTGAAAGTGCTCCTTCCTTGCTCTGTAACTAGTCATCTATATTATTGTTTAAGAGCTGTCAAGAGGACTCTGCTCTTTATCTACACTTCAAAATGTAATGTGACTTATTTTGAAAATCTGTACTCCACAAAATTGGAAAACTTAAAGGAAATGCACAACTTTCTGGATAAATATCACTTACCAAAATTAAAACAAGACCAGATACGCATAATAAACAGAGCTATAACTACTGAAGAAATAGAAACATTCATCAAAAGTCTCCCCCACCCCGGAAACAAAAAACAACCGAGAACTGGATGGTTTCAGCTCAGAATTCTATTAGACTTTCTTTCTTTCTTTTTTTTTTTTTTAGATTTCCACACAAGAAATTATATTACATAGGCCAAAGTGTGTGCTTTATTAACTTCTGAGTTTCCAGGGCATACCAGAAACTCAGTATGGATTTGTTACACTGAACTGGTTTTCTTTTTTTTTAAGTTTATTAATATATAAAAGTTTCCATTTCCGCCCCTCCTCCCAACACCCTCCCACTGCCCCCACTCCCTCTTCTCCTCCCTCTCCATCTCTAAGAGCAGTCAGGGTTTCCTGCCTTGTAGGAAGTTCAAGTTCCTCCCCTCTTCCTCCAGGTCCAGGAAGGTGAGCATCCAAACAGACTGGATCCCAAAAATCCAGTATATGCAGAGGAAATAAGTCCCAGTGTCATTGTCAATGGCTTTTCAGAAAGACCCCGTGCCAGTCACATTCAGAGAATCTGGTTGAATCACGTGCTCGTTCCGTTCCAGTCCAATTGGCCTTGGTAAACTCTCATTAGATCAGTTCCCTTGTATCAGTGGGTGAATGCACTCCTCACGGTCCTGCCTTTCTTGTTCATGTTCTCCCTCCTTCTGCTCCTCATTTAGACCTTGGGGGCTCAGTCCAGTGCTCCAGTGTGGATCTCTGTCTCAATCTCCATCCTTCAATGGGTGAAGGTTCCCTCTGGTCTTGCCTTCTTTGCTCATGTTCTCTTTCCTTCTGCTTCTCGTTTGGACCTAGGGAGTTAAGTCCAGTTTTCCAATGTGGGTCTCTGTCTCTATCTCCATCCATCGCCAGATGAAGGTTCTATGGTGATATGCAAAATATTCATCAGTATGGTTATGGGCCAAGGCCGGTTAAGGCACCCTCTCCTCAGTCCAGAGAACAATCTGGGGATCTCTCCTTGGACCTGGGATCCCCTTTATAATCAAGTCTCTTGTAAACCCTAAAATGACTCTCTTAGTTGAGAGATATACTTCCCTGATCCCATATCCATCCTTCCTCCCGCCCCCCCATCCCAATCCCCCGAGCTTTCCCCATTCCTCCCCTACTCCCTTCTCTCTAACCCTCTCCCCTTCCAACAAGCCACCACCCCACATGCACCCGAGGTTACCTGGCACTCTTGTCTACTTCCAATCTCCATGTGGATAGCTACATGATTTTCTTCAGATTCACCTTCTTATTTAGCTTCTCTAGGATCATGAATAATAGGCTCAAAGACCTTTAATTATGGCTAGAATCCACTTATGAGTGAATACATAGCGTGTTCCTCTTTTTGGGTCTGGCTTACCTCACTCAGTAAAGCGTTTTCTATGTCCATCCATTTGCATGCAAAATTCAAGATGTCGTTGTTTTTTACCGCTGAGTAAAACTCTAATGTATATATGTTCCACATCTTCTTTAACCATTCTTCTATTGAGGGGCACCTAGATTGTTTCCAGATTCTGGCTATTACAAATAGCGCTGCTATGAACATAGTTGAACAAATGCTTTTGTGGTATGATAGGGCATATCTTGGGTATATTCCCAAGAGTGGAATTGCTGGGCCCTGAGGGAGGTTGACTCCCAGTTTGCTGAGAAAACGCCACACTGATTTCCACAGTGGCTGCACAAGTTTGCATTCCCACCAACAATGGATGAGAGTTCCCCTCTCTCCACATCCTCTCCAGCATAGGCTATCATTGGTGT